ATTATTCCATCAATTCTTGACACCATATTAAAAGGAAATTATCTTAATTTTCCAGTAAGTTGGTTTTGAGTGCATCCCAATAGGTTATGTGTCGCTATTAAAATGAAGTTGATAAAGAATGACTATAGCTGATCCTGATTTTCAACTTTAAGCGGATTTAAATATCTTTTGTTCATTAAATGAACTTTAAACTCCACATGAGGGTGGCATGTGATAGCCATACCATAACTTAAACTGTCTAACCACACTTTTGTCATGTGTCACATAAATTAATCAACAATTTCTCATTGCAACGTTGCCACATTGCCTTCCACTCTTTAAATCTCTCTTCTCCCCAACAATCATTTTCAGTATCCTTTTATTCAGTAAATTAATATCATGGTCTTTATTACTCTAAAACTACAAACTACAATGTATAACTAACATAAAACAAGTAACCGAACAAAAAAAAAAAAATACTAACGGAAAGTTAACCTAGAAACAAGGGCAAGTATGATTCAGACATTAATTATTTAAATCTCTTCTCCAGTGCTAATTTGGTAATTTAACAAAAAATAACATTTATTTCCAAATTCCAATCATATACTAAGAATAGAAAATTCAAATGCAATTCCACGTAGCACAACGCGTCTCCAAATACATATAATAGTCTTGTTGAATATTTCAATAAAAGACACTAACACAGCAGATGCGATGCACACAAATGCAAAAGATGGGCAAATAAAGAAATAAGAAGCGGGGTGATATATAAGAATAAGAATAAGAATAGAAAATGATTCCATTTATGTCAAAAACCCAATGCCCAAGTAATTCATTCATTACTGTTCTATGTTCAGCAAAACACCACAACAGTTTCCAATTTATTCCCCTTGTACACAGACAATAGGAAATTTCGTGGAAACTTCCTAGCTTGCCATTATTTGGCGCTAAAAGTCAAAAGTTATGATGTAGTGGTGGGCGATTATCCTCCCTTTAATTTATCTACAGCCAAAAAAAAAAAAAAAAAAAAAAAAAAAAAAAAAAAAAAAAAAAAAAAAAAAAAAAAAAGAAAAAAAAAAAAAAAAAAAAAAAAAAAAAAAAGAAAAACATGAACCTATGCCCACAGAGGAAATAACGATTTGAGATACCATTATGAGTCGGTCCATAAATAATATCATGTATAATATATGGATTAAGAACCAATAGATTTATAAATTAATATTATATTTGTGCTTACGAATGTTAGTGTTTACGAGTGCCATGAAATACGATTATCGGCTTATGTAAATATAATCAAAGATATGTAACGTAATTAAATATTTATTTTTTAATAATTATTATTAATATTGAATTGCATTAACGTAAGTGTAAAAATTATGACGTAACCAATCACGTATTTGACGTGACAAGACCGGAATCAAAGAAAAAAGCTGTTAACCCGGTGGAGACGACGGCGTACAGTACCGTACAGGAGACACAAAACAAAAAATATGTGCTAACGTGCGCATGATGTTAAGCTAACTATAATGCCATACGACCAGGACTCTCTTTTTTTTCCGATATTGTTTGTTTCCGGAGCAAAGAAAAACCAAAATGAAAGTAAAATTCGTTGCGTTATTAGAAAAAAAAAAAAATAAGTCGAAAAAGAAAATTATAGAAAAATACGAAAAAGAGAAAAAAAAAAAAACCTGGATGCTTCTTTTTTTCTTCTCAGCCTCAGATCGTTTGGCGAGATCAGCGACCATACGAAACCTGCGGCGAGGATTTTTGACGATGGCCCCCACTGCCTTTCTCCATCTCCGCAACGCTTCTTCCGACGGATTTTTGTTTTCCACCTCAAAGTCCTTCAGTAGGTTCTTCATTTTCTAGGTGATAAGTGCAGCTAAATGTTTACTTTTGCAGGGAGTTGCGACGCGGCTGAATTGTCTCTTGTATATTTTGGTGTTTCTGTACCATTGGAAGGATTCAGGAGGATTTATTTGCCAAACATGTGTGTAAAAATGTCTAAACAATCAGAGCTTGAAACGTGTCAAATAATAAGGTTGGATGCGAAGTAACTACATTCTCCCTCCTTCCAAAAAAGATTATTAAATCTCAAAATTTAGTCCATTTATTTTGTTTTTATATTATAGTTAATTTTTAAATTATTTATTAAATTATTTATTAAATTTGATCTTATTTTAATAATTTTCATTAATTCATTAATTTTTTCAAAATTAGTCTTACTTTGAATTCACATGTCCTTTCATAAGTAATTTTATTTTTTATTAATTTTTTCTATTGAATTTTAAAAAATATCAATATTAGTCACTCTTATTAATTGGAACTTATATTTTCAATTTTATATTATCAATATAATTTTTATTATTTTAAAATAATAATTAGTCACGTGTTATATAAATGGGTACAATAAGAAAATTATGGTAAAAATTATCTACTAACCATACTAATTTTTATTTTTTAATTTATGTGAAAAAAGAAAGTGTGTTTTCTTTTCAGTACCAAGTGAATAGTAAATAAGTATATCTCAAATTATTTTGTGTCAACTATATGAATAATTTATTTCTATTGTACTCTTTTCATAACTACTTCATATGGTCTGAAATATAAATAGTTTAAGGTTTTTGCAAAAAAATTAAAAAGATAATTAATTCTCTTAAATTATAAAAAATTAAAGTAATTTTACCAAATTATTCTTTATCTCAACACCAATAGTAACCTGTGAAGATAATTATTATATCTAAAGTAAAGAAGATAATATAAAAAAAATATTATTTATTACTCCTTAAAATACTTAAAATAATTTGTATTATGAGACAAAATAATTATAAAAAAAACTTATATTTTAGGTCAGTGGGACTACAAATTTATTTATAGTTAGAAATGAATCGATTTGAACTCGACTCATCGAACTTTCTATAACTATTTTTGAGTCGAACTCAAATAACTGAAAAGTAGTTTGAAATTATTTACACCCTAATTCAAAATTCTATCCCCCATCTAATAATTATTTCTTATCTTTTACTCTTGATGGGTCTTAGAGTGTATTGGTTGATGAATTTAAGTTGAAAGCCTACTAAAATTACAACATTGCTAAAATATAGCATTATAGCATGTCATCTCCCTAAAAAAAAAAAAAAAAAAAAAAAGCATGTCATCTCCCTAAAAAAAAAAAAAAAAAAAAAAGTGACATGTGGTCTTATAAAAAAAAAAAAAAAAAAAAAAAAGTGACATGTGGTCTTATCATCCATTATTCTAACTACTTTAAATAATATACATCAACCATCTTGAAAATATATAAACTAAAATATCTCTAACTTATAAGATCTCTAATATATTAATTTAACTATAGTTTAAATATCAATTTATATTTTCCACCTTGAATTTTATTTTTGCACAAAATAAATTTTATTTTTTTTCGATTGATCATACGACAGTCTAAACAGTATATTTTAGTATAGAATGATTAAAGTGTTAATAAAATTATAATTTAGGGATTTTATATTTAGTTTTTCAAAATAAAGATCTTTTTTTGTTAATTTGATTATAAGTAAGGGAACAATTTATATTTTTTTCTTAAAAAAAAACATGAATGATGAATTTATAATTAAATCAAATCTCATGACTGAATTTGAAAAAGAAAAAAAGATGTCAACCATTATCTTTAAAGATCTTTTTTTTATTATTACAAAATAAAATATTCTTTATATATTTTTGCTAAAAGGAGGATGCCATTGGAATTTAAAAATTACTGTACAAAAGTTCCTTTGAGTACTTAAAAGTTCAAGTAGCCTCTTTTTTTCTTTTTAAGTCACAGAAAGACAACCAACGAGTCAAATTTGATAATAGGATTTTTTTAAAGAAAAAGTACAATAATTAAAACTTTTCAATAAAGGAATAAAAATTTAATAATTCAAATAAAATAATTCATATATCATAGTCTAACATGGGCCACTTCCAAAAAGTAATTCATAAATAATACAACTAATTAAGAGTGTAATAGAACTTTCGAAGGAATTGACGTATGAATTCATTGAATTTGATTCACTGATATTTTTAAAGTTTATTAATTATTAATCAAATAACAGTTTGCTAATATAATTTTTTAAAAATAACTAAAAAGATAAATAAACGTGAAATAAGATAAAAAAAATATACAAGCCTTAAATTATGTAAAGTGATTTGTTGGAAGTTTGATAGTTAGTTTTCAGTTTTTCACTGTACTTTAAATATTTTAGTTATTTTTCATTTTTACCTTATTCACTGTTCCATTTCAAGAAAAAGATAAAAATTATATTGAAAATAAGTAATAGCTATTGTTATACATTTAATTTGCTTCATTTTAAAATTTAATGATTGGTACAGTAGTTTTATATAAAATTAGTGTTTACATTAACAAATTGTAGATGTTGTTTGTTTGATATTAAAATATTTTATTTTTACTTACAAGATGTGGCTCAATTGGCAACACAGACTGGATATATAAGAAGAGCTATCGGATTTAATCTTCATGAAACATATTTGTAAGGAGGGGTGAAGAGTTTTAACTGTGATTACGCCTTGAACCGAACTTGATAATGATTAAATCTCTCTCTCAATACTCAACAAAATTTAGTAAGACATGTGCTTCTGACGAACAATTGCAATTATTTATATAACAAAAAAAAGACCAAGAACACAAAATGCTAATCTCTATTTAAATTTACAAATTCGAAGAATTAGCATTAAATAATAAGGTTATTACCCTGCTATTACTTATTTGAAAGATTGAAAAAAGGTAATTGGAAAAAATATATTACACAAATTTGAATTGGAGCTTGAGAAAAAAAAAAAGAAACCTGAAATACACTAAAATTATGTACTTTTTTTGAAGTACTTTTTTCGAATTGAAAAATGATATAAAATTCTTCTTCTGCCCCTAGTTGCAGATAAGAAAACGACAGTGGTTCAATACAAACGGCACATCTTATTTGCTACAATGACACGTCGTTGCTTCCGAATTGAGGCTACGTTTTTCTTGAACCCAAAAGCTAAAACCCTACAAAATCCCAAATGACAAAAGCTTAATATAGTTATTCTCTTCCTCTCTACTCATATGCAGTATCAACGATGGTGAAATCAAAGCCCTCAAATGACAACACCAAAGACATGGAGCTCTTGAAAACAGAGGTGGCCTCTTTCGCTTCTTCTCTTGGTCTCTCTTCTTCTGCTTCTCTCCCTTCCTCTGGTTTCAACGATGCTGATTTTCGAAAATCAGGTCCTCTAAAGAAATCAAAACCCACAAAACCAAACTCTCAGTCAGATAAAAACACTCAAGATAGTAATAACCAATTCGATAACAGCTCAAAGAAGGCCACAAATTTCAAAAACAAAGACAAGGTTGAGAAAAAATCGAATGTTTACCAAAAACCAGAACCAAAACCTCCGGTTTTATCACTTGATGATAATAACAAGAGAAGTAATAGAGCATTTGAGAAATTCAAGAACCTTCCAAAGCTACCTTTAGTGAAGGCTGGTGCATTGGGTGTGTGGTATGAGGATGCTATGGAGTTGGAGAAGGAAGTTTTGGGTGAAGGGAAAAGCAAGTTGGAGTTGAAAATGGGTGTGGAGGCATGGAAAGTTTTGGTGGAAAAAAAGAAAGAGTTAGGGGAAAGGTTGATGTGGCAGTATACACAAGATTATGAGCAAAGCAGAGGGAAGAGTGGGGAAATTAAGATGGCCGCACTTAGTCAGAGGTCTGGTACTGCCGTTGATAAAGTGCATGCCTTTTCTTTGGTTGTTGTGGATAATCCCATTGCCAATTTGAGGTCACTTGATGCACTTTTAGGTAATGAGTTTAATGGTTTTGGTGCATCTTAGTTTGAAATTGTTTGATTAGATTGTTTTATACACTATAGTTGAGTAGAAGACATAGTTTATGGATTTAAGGATCAAATATTGACAATTGTTTTATGCTTGAATGTTTTCATTGATGAGTCTTGGCAATTTAAGTGACAAATTAAGGATTCTGTTGAATTACGGATTTCGCGCAGAATTTCTAAATATTTCTTCATTTTTTGCTGTGAGATACATATGTTATAGTTTTATCTATTTCTTGATTGAAATGAATATTTATTGCAGGAATGGTAACATCTAAAGTGGGGAAACGCCATGCTCTCAGAGGATTTGATGTGCTAGAAGAACTTTTTACTTCAAGGTTTTAATTTATTAGAATGTGCTTTCCATATATTTCTTTGATTCTATCTGCTGTATGTTTTATCTTAACTGGTTATTATTACATAGCAGCCTCGTGAATATTAGTGTGAGTTTGGTTAGTGGTCCTTGCCTATTAGTACCCACTGTTAATTATGTTTGATACTTTTAGCACTTTCTATTGTTTGCATTGTTTGTATTTCACTCATGACCTTGTGGTTGCTCTTTGAGTATGAGGAGTATTTGCTTTCTAGTCTGGTATCCTGATTCATTTTCTGACTTAGCTGCAAACTATAATAAGAGAGATGTTCTTCTTTGTTGGTTTTTTGGCTTCACTGTTGCATATTGAATCATAATATTGATTTAGTGGTTGCCTGGTTGTTAGTTAATTTACTTTATCTTTACAGGTGTGCTTCAGTAGTGTACTAATTTGCTTTGTGTGTACTCTATAACCAGTTTGCTGCCTGATCGCAAGCTGAAGACCCTTTTGCAGCGGCCAGTTAATAGTCTTCCTGAGACAAAAGATGGCTATTCTCTTCTACTTTTTTGGTATTGGGAGGATTGCTTGAAGCAGAGGTAGGCCACTTTGTTTCTTCCATTAATTAATCGTTAATGGCTTTTACACTTTATCTGTTCATGGCCTAAACTTGGCAGCTAGTTTGCATTACTTGGCAATTTAATAAAGTATGTATACTCTTTTACTTTTAGAACAAAGTGCATAATATCTATGCATCCATGAGTGTATATCTTTGCACCTGCCTTGTATCAACTAAAATTTTATGCTTTGTTTGGATGGGTGTAAAATATGGGTGGATGTAAAATAAGGGGTGAAAATTTCTTGGGATTATCAAAATACTTTGTTTGGTTTGAGTGAAAATATGAAGGAGGGTGTAAGATAAATTTACTATACACTCACTTTAGCCTCATTTTTCTCTCCATTTTGGGAGGAAAATGAATAGTGCCATTTACACTCTAATTTTACTTCCTCACTTATTTTACTTCCTCCCTCTTCCAAAACATAGCATTAAAGTCGCATCTAACACTTATAAACCGTTGCACAAGCTCGGATAGAAACGTGCCTATTTTGTAAAAGAATTTTTTTGGATATGTACTCTTTCTAATTGATTGCTGTACTCTAATGCACTTCAAAGTAAACACCATTGTTTTTTATGCTACATGGACATGTGGTTTCATGATTGATGTTATCACTTCCATGCATTGGATATACACTGATATTACAGCTAAACAGATTACTCATTGCATTATGAGTGTTGTGGACACCCATTGCACTACATGCTATCCTAGGGTCAAACTGTGGGGCGCTATATTAGAGTAAACAAAATCTATTGCTATTAGATTGAATAAGAAAAGACTTAGGTGGTGTTTGGTAAAACTGAAAATTAAGTGCTGAAAATTTCAGACCTGACTTTTAACTGTTGAATAATTTAAGTGAGGAAGTTGTAAAAATATAAAATTATTTAGAAGCTTATTAAGTTGTTGTATTCGGTGCAAATTTTTAGTTAAAATTTTGAACTTACTATTTAAAGTGAATTTTATCTTAATTGCGACCTTTAAACCAAGTTGTCAATTCCGTTCTGTTTCTGCCAAAATGGCTGGAAAAATCTAATTTCAGCTAAAAAATGAAATGAAAGGACATCAATTTCTTCTTGGACAAAATCTTGACATTTTTTTGTCTGTTCCAGTCAAGATAGGGCCAAAACGCCCATTTTAGTTGAGATACCATTCCGCGGAGATAGTAAAACAACAAAAAGTAAAAATGCGATTTTGTAAAAGAGGAAAAATAATAAAGCCCAACCTTATCCTTGCAAAACTGAAAAGATAATATAGACTCAAAACTGAAGTGTCTAATTCTCCTATCTCGCGAGTAACAACAAATTCTTTCATTTTCTTTTAATCAAATTTGAGAACAACTAATCAACAAATTTCTTCCCTTGTTCTTAATTTTTCAAAGTTTTAAGATTTGGAATTTGTCTTTGTGAAGTTATGTTATATTATTTTAGCTTTATTGTATTATATTGAGAACTTGTTATGCATGAACAAATCCATGTGCGCTTGCCTTGAGATACTCCGGTACATCAACCAAAATGAAATTGACAACCTTGCTTTTAAGTGACATGTAGATAAGCTTTATCAAATAACTTAAAGCTAATAAGCGTCAAATGGTGTTATCAATCCACCTTTGTTTCAAAGTGCTTAATTATGTGTAAAATTTGGAAAATAAAAGTATTCTAATTTCCGGAAGCCCTTTTGTATCTTGCCATATTTTTAACCTTTTCTATCAAAACAAGTAATACCTGTACTTATTCACTAGTGTCTGAGTTTCAGCATTAGCATTATCTTTATCCTGGGGATATAAATGTGGTAAGCATAGGGTTTTTACCTCAAATTATGAAATGATGAGGTTTGAAAGTGATTTATGCAGTTGTTGGTTCATTGGATAGGTTTTTTGCATGCTTCTTATGTTATTCCACATATCAATTTATACTTGACATTTTTTTTTACTATTTTTGAATCATTACTTTGTTCTTATATAAACATACATTACTAATTTTAGGTATGAACGGTTTGTTTTTGCACTAGAGGAAGCATCAAGAGATGCACTACCCATTCTAAAAGACAGAGCGCTTAAGGTTGGCATTTCCCTTTCTTCTTCAATGTAGTCTGTGCTTATATAGAAGTCACAATCACTAGTTTATGTGTCAAGAGACAAAATGGTTTCTATGGACTTCAATTGCGGCCCTTCATCCAAGTACTCTTGTTAACTTGGAGAAACATGGCCAAACCATCTCAATCACTGTTCCCTCGAGTTATTGTTGGTGGTCTCACTTCAAACTTATGAATCTAGTCATGCCTTGTATGACCCTGCACAGATCCATCGTAGACATAGAACCCTTATCATTGCTGTGCTCATTTTGTGAATGTATTGTGCTTTCCCACTAAATATTGGCTTATTTGTATTATTATTTTTATTGTTGTTGTTATTAACTTACTATTATTATTGTTGTTGTTGTTGTTGTTGTTACATCTAGGTCATGTTTGGTTACTTGGAATCAAATATCAGATGAGAGTTTTTCTCCGCCTTTTCTATTTGGCATTAAAAAGACCCTTTCTTAATTCTCGAGCATTTCTTTTTCATTTTTTTCTTTCTCATGATTTTATTCCAGCATAATAGTAATGAAAGGCCATTAATTATACTCAATACTTTTTCCCAATCACTTATTGCTTTTGTCTATCAAAAACCCAAATTATTAGGAATAGGAGTTTATTCCCATTCCAATTCTTTGATCCCTTATAACCAAACGATGCCCTATGGTTTTAGTCAGTATTATAAGGTTTTATTGAAACAAACTTATTGGTCACTGCAATTTCAGATTATGTACGCTCTGTTGAATAATAAATCAGAGCAGGAGCGTAGGTTGCTCTCTGGCCTTGTTAACAAAGTAAGTTGCTGCTGGCTTTTAACTTTTGAAAGTATTGGCTTTGGATTTTCCTTGAAGCAATTTATTTGGAGTTACTGATCTTGATGGTAATAGGAAGGTTTTTCTTATATTTTGATTACTTGCAGCTAGGTGATCCTCAAAATAGGGGTGCCTCAAATGCTGACTTTCACTTGTCTAACCTATTGTCTGACCACCCAAATATGAAGGTATAATTTCTAATCTAGCCACTTACAATTCTATGATTTATTTTTCACTCAAGTTTTTATTAAATTGACTACCTTAGCCATATTATTTTACAGGTTGTGGTGATTGATGAAGTGGACTCTTTTCTCTTTCGACCTCATTTGGGACTAAGAGCAAAGTACCATGCTGTATGTCTTGATCATGCTTTCTAATTGCTACACGTGTATTATAGTTACTTTCATTGATCTTAATTTTTTGTTTTATATCTTGGCATTGTTATATTGTTACTTTTGCGTCATTATTTTAGCATATTTGCTAGTGTAACGGCATTGTGTTGATGCCTTACTAGTTCATTGATGATGTAACACATTTAAGGAGTTAAGTTATTTAGTGCTGATCATCCTCTTGATGAGATTCATTAGATTATTCTTCCTTAGATGAACGAGGGAAGTAGAAAGGAGCATGAGCTATATGTTCAGTGAGCCGTTGGTTTACTTTTGATGAAGCTGTTTTCCTGTGGTATTACCTTAAATTTTTGCACCTTTTTTCACTTTAGGGGTAAAAGAGGAAGCCTTCATGTAATATAATTATGTAATAAATATTTGAAATTGTACAAGCAAGTTCTGCAGCTATTCTCTTTTCAGAACTGATTTTTGTGCGTTGCATAAATTGGATTGTATGCAGGCTGAACTCAAACCACTATGCATCGAGTTTAATCTGTGGCTCTTATTCAGTTTCCCTTCTACACATGCAGGTTAACTTTCTGAGCCAAATTCGTCTGTCTCATAAAGGAGATGGACCAAAGGTGGCAAAACGATTGATAGATGTATATTTTGCATTATTCAAGGTACCAAGACCTTCTTGCATATGTTATGCTCGATTTGATGTCTTCTCTATGGATGCAAGTTCTATCTCTGAATCTGCTGAAATCGTTTTTATTAATTTGAATATACTATTTACCATTAAATAAATAACATGATTACATGCTAAAATCTTAGCATCATGCTTCCAAGTTGATGTTATTGAAGAGAAGGTATTCACAGAAATGACTATTGTAGGTCTTGATATCTGAGGTTGATGGCCGTCAAAAGATGGATAAAAGTAGGAAAGCAGAGGATATAGATATCCATGATCCTTCCAGGAAGCATAACGTGAAAGATTCATTAGAACCTCATGTTGAATTGGATTCACGGCTTCTATCAGCTCTGTTAACAGTCAGTACAAACATTTCTCTTTTTAAATGAAATGCCTATTACCGACTTCCGTACCATCTTTAGCTTGTTGTGTACTTTTAAATCCCTGCTTCACAAATCCTGTTTACTTTTGTTGGTCATTTCAGGGAATTAATAGAGCATTTCCTTATGTTTCAAGCTCTGAGGCTGATGACATTATTGAGATCCAAACGCCAATGCTCTTCCGACTGGTAAGATCCTGCTATTTGTTATTTTTTAAAAATAAGTTTTTAGTGGTGGTGGTTATGGTGGCATCACGATTGTTTTGGTTGGTTTGATATTGATATTTACATTTAACTGTGTAGGTGCACTCAAAGAATTTTAATGTAGGAGTTCAGGCATTGATGCTTCTTGACAAAATCTCTTCAAGGAATCAGATTGTCAGTGACCGCTTTTACCGTGCTTTGTACTCAAAGCTTCTACTTCCAGCTGCCATGAATTCTTCCAAGGCAAGTGTAATTTCTGCTTGGAGACAATATGTTTTTGCCAATCTTTAACACTGAGTTTGCTGCTGCTGCTTTTTTTTCTAGCAGGCAGTTTGATTTCTCTGTTTTAGAAAGTGGATTATTCCAGATCTCTGTATCCCTGAATATCATGATGCAGCTTATTTCATGACAAAAAGACAGTTCAAAGATGCTTTTAAATAATAGTCTGCATTGTTTTTGACAAATCTGGGATAGTTTTGATAACTTGGTCCTCTTTTGGCTTCTTTTCTTCTAAGATTAGCTCATCTATTTAGTAGATGTGAATGCTTTGGGTCTTGAAGAGTTTGATATGGATTCTCTTGGTCTCAAAAAATTTGGTATCTAGGATATTTTCATTTTCCAACGTATTTTGCACCATACTCTGTTATCTGGAACCCTTTAAAGATATAAGGTGCCTTGGGGAGCAACAGGCATTGTGCTGGATGGTTACCTTTGCTCCAACTTCCTTTATATGCATTGAATTTTGATAATATGTGCAGTTCCTTAGAATCTTCAACAATCTGCTATTATGACAACAAGAGTCATTTGTAGTTTGTATTCATCTGAACAAAATCTGTCATTTGATTACTTTTCCCTCATATATGGTTACGTTTCAGGTGGAAATGTTTATTGCACTTCTTCTGAGAGCAATGAAAAGTGACATAAATTTGAAGCGAGTTTCTGCCTTTGCAAAGCGTCTGTTGCAGGTTAGTTATTCAGGCATTTGTTCTACTAGGACATTTCTTTAGCAAATAATATGAAATGGAAGCCTGTTCTTTTTTGGGCAGCTGAGTAAATATTTCTTTTGAAAATCAGTGGTAATGATGCATGACTATGTTTGGTCCATATGCCTGAAATGTCTACTATTTCTTCCTCCAATTACCTCTTCACCGCAATGGATGAATATATAATTGTTCACATTTCATGTTTTAACTTATTTAATATGTTGTAAAATATAATCTAAATGATAAACTGAGACTTTATTATTTGTTTATGGACTTCATTAAGAATTTTTTTAGCGGTAGTTACTATATAGTCTTAGATTTTTGTCAAATACACTAGTAAGGACTTCGGTTTTCAAAATTACATTATTTAATCCCTGCATTATAATTCTATTTTTCTATAAGGTCCAAAGGTTAGTTTTTCTATTAAGTGGTTGTAAAATATCAAAAAAAGACCATTAAAGATAATTTCTATATAGGAATTAGATAGTGTAAAATTATGAAAATTAAGGTCCTTACTAGTGTATCTCACTAAATCGTAGGAACTACGCATTGATTTTCATTAGGGTTACTTTTGACATTTCAGTCACTTAATGGAAAAACTAACGTTTGGACCTTATAGTGTAGCAGAATTGTAAATAGGGATTAAATAATTTAATTTTGAAAATTAAGATCCTTACTAGTATATTTGAGCAAAACCTAGGGACTACATAGTAATTACCCCTTCTTCTAAACTGCTAAATTCCACAGGCATATTATTTCTTTAAATATAGTGATTCCAATTTTCAATGGTCTATACTCAAAACAAAGATTGACTATTTATATGCTTGTACAGGTTTCACTTCAGCAGCCGCCTCAATATGCCTGTGGATGTTTGTTTCTCCTTTCTGAAGTTCTCAAAGCAAGGCCTCCTTTATGGTAATACTGGTTATTTTTGAGAAATGCAGCATGCTTGGTCTCTATGCTTTGAGTGTATTATGATTTCATTACAATTGAATCAGAAACTCCCTTATCATGCAGGAACATGGTTATCCAGAATGAGTCAGTTGATGAAGATCTTGAACATTTTAAAGATGTAGTGGAGGAAACTGATGATGAACCTCACACGGAGGTGAAAGTTGAAAATAATCTTGTATCTGTTCAAAATGCAGATAAGGCCAGTCCCGAAAATGATTCTTCAGAAGGTGAAGATGATTCCCCTGCTCCTAGCTCAGATGATGATGAGGACGATGATTCAGATGAAGCAGAAGTGTTGTTTTCACAAAATGGTTCAAAAGAATTTCAGGAATCCAAATCAGCATCTGATTATAATGATAACCAGCCTCAAATATCCTCTACTGATTCTTCCCTGCCTGGAGGGTACAATCCACGGCACAGAGAGCCTTCTTACTGGTATGTTGGCTGTTTCAACAATTTATTTTGCTTGCTTAAATGGTTGCATTCTTTCTGGTGAAAGATGCTAATAATTGATTTGAATGGTAGCAAAAAATGAAAACGTAAAATGTTGTCATATCTTTCTTTAGAACCGTTGGAAGTTACCTGATACTTTGGTAATGTAAGAACGCCAGTTTGTTTCCCAGGATTCTCACTTGATAAAATGTTGAATCAACAGCAATGCAGATCGTGCAAGCTGGTGGGAGTTGATGGTGCTTGCTTCTCATGTTCATCCATCTGTTGCTACCATGGCTAGGACACTTATATCTGGGGCCAATATTGTTTACAATGGTAATCCATTAAATGATCTCTCGCTTACTGCTTTTCTAGACAAGTTCATGGAGAAGAAACCAAAGCAGACAACATGGCATGGTGGCTCCCAAATAGAACCAGCAAAAAAGGTCGGGATAAACCTTTCTGGCAGTTGCTTTGGTTGCTTTCATTTTGTTTACCATTTTTTTTTTAAATGTGGAATTTACAGATTTCTTCTGCTTTCTTTAGTGTTTGAGGATTTCTCTAATAACAAACACGCAATGTCGAACCATGTCACTATTGCTGACTCATTTCATGTTTCCTCAGCTTGACATGAACAATCATTTAATTGGATCAGAAATTCTGTCATTGGCTGAAGTGGACGTGCCTCCTGAAGATTTAGTTTTTCACAAGTTTTACATGAATAAAATGAATAGCTCGAAGCCAAAGAAGAAGAAAAAGAAGGCAGCAGCAGATGAAGAGGCTGCTGAAGAGCTTTTTGAAGTTAGGGGTGGTGATGAAGTAGGTGGCGGTGATGAGAGTGATAATGAAGAGATTGAGAATATGTTGGATTCTGCCGATCTTGCTTTTGATGCCGATGGTGATTATGACTACGATGATTTGGACCAAGTTGCCAATGAAGATGATGATGACTTGATTGGAAATGCCAGTGATGTTGAAATGGATGATCTGTCAGATATTGCAACGGGAGAAGATTTTGATGGCATTGCTAATGGTGATAGCGATGATGATGTTCAAGATGTAGATGTTGGGGATGTAGATGATGGTAGTGACGAAGAGGATGGATTTGACGACAAGAGAAGAAAACGGAAGTCTAGTTTGAAGGTTGGTGCATCACCATTTGCAAATCTTGAAGACTATGAGCATTTGTTAAATGAAGAGAATCCCGGAAAAGAGAAATCTATGGAAAAGAAAAAGCCGAAATCACGGAAAAAGAAAAAGTCATCCAAGTGAGTGCCTCATTCACAATCTCATCAAAATCAGGTCAGAAGGATCTTTCATTGGTTTGCGCATACTGGGAATTAACGTGAATGAAGTGCTCTTTGTTGTTTGGTTTATAGTACAATATTAGAATTCTGCAATTAAGCTACAGAGGCGATGGTTAATGCTAACGCCGTAAAAATTTTGGTTCAGCAAGGACAACATGGTTAAACAAGCATGTGCTAATTTATAAAACAACTTGATTCTTTCCTTTTCTGTTTTATGTCTCTGTATCTTTATATAGGTTTCTATACTTTGCTTTGCCACTTAAATTGGCTTTTGGACCACTAAGCATTTCAGTTTACTTTGGAGATTACTTGTAAAATGCTTGAATATTATTTAGTATTTACAGACAGAAAAGCAGCTTCTTTCAAATTGGAATTTTCCCATATTTCTTTTTTTTTTCTTTTTTTTTTATTACAATATATGAAATAATATCCGGAGGGACAAGATCCGACTCTTTAATATCAGATAAAGATAAATCGAATAAATATATTGATCAAATATTCTTGAGCAGATTGATGTGATTTTTTTCAAGAGATGAATGATTTGAAATATGAGCACTTCCAATATTGATACAATCTTTTATGAATGACAGAATAAACAATTATTCATGAAAGAATCACATTTTCATTTTCTTTTTTAAAAATCAATTTTATTAAAATAACTATATATCATTCATATATTATTCTATACCTAAAAGTTTTCAAAAAAAAAAAAAAAAAATCTATACCTAAAAAGATTACATTTTATACAAGTATGATATATAGATATAAATAAATTAACACTTTGTTTAATTACACGTAATTCAAAAAAAAAAAAAAAAATATTCTATACCTAAAAGATTACATTTTATACAAGTATGATATATAGATATAAATAAATAACACTTTGTAATTACGTAAATAAAATTTTTTAAATAAAATAGAAATATTAAATTATATACATATGTCAACAAAAATATAGCTACCTATAGGCCACAGTAATAAACTAATAAAAATTTTGAGAAATCATTTATATCAATCCCATCAAATTCTTCCAATTAAAATTGAGATTTTGGTATTTTTTTTAATTTTAAAAATACCCATTAAATCTATGAATTTATTCTCGTACCAAATAAAAAAAGATTGTATAAACCCATCAAATTAAAAACTTTAATTTCAAATTCCAGGAATTGTTATTCTTGAAAAAAAAAAATTCGGTGAATTGCAAAACATTCAATACGAATATTGCCTGCTAATGTAGTTCCTTATCAAACCCATGTAAATTTTATATATTAAAAAAAAAAAAAAAATTTACTGTTCAATTTCTCAGTGTATACGTAAAAAGAACTTGATAACCGATTACACCATTTCTTTTTGGCATAATTTCTGTTCTATGTTTTTGGTTTCTGTTTTTATAATAAATGCTAGTATATAAGGAAAAAGATCAAGAAAATAAGCAGAAACTACTTTTTGTTGTTTTCACATATTTTGGTAATCTGTTTTTCTAGTTTAAGCAAGCAAGTGGCAATTCCTTTTTTTTTTTTTTTTCTTTTTCTTTTTGGTGTTATGTTTTTCTCTGACAATTGGAAACCAAAAACAAGAAACAGCAATAATACCAAACAGCTCCTAATAGTTAATTGATAATGCGAACTCAGCCAAAAATCTGAAAATTATAAGCTCATTAATTAAAAAATCAAGTATGAGAGAAAACTCAAGTTACCTACAATTCTTTTCAACCTTCAAAGGTGGATTAGGCATTGTGGGGAAAGTTAATATAGAACTTAAACCTCTTGCTGTAAATTGTAATGCTGTTAGTACTTGGTATCAGTAGAGTCACCTTTCACTACTAGGGATTCAACTTTCTGCAACCAATTCACATATTGATTTTTCTCCTTTTCTTGTAGATGTAGTAGGATGAAATTAGTAAGTTCTTCACTGACTCCCTTGGCTACTAGGTATTCCTTGAGAGCATTTTGTAACTGAGTGTCCAAGTCACTGCAGATAAAAAGGAAATCAAGAAAGAAAATTATAAGAGAAAAGATAATGCCCCAAGAATTATATCCTTTATGTTAGTAGAGTTGAAAAAGTAAAGTCTGATTGTTAGTTTATTACAATAAATACCTATGCTATATAATTACAAGAAGGAATCTTAAGTATGTAATTACATGAAGAGAGTCCATAACTAGCAGTTCGAATTCCGAGCTATCAGCTAGGACCGGAGTGAGAGCTTTCATAGCTGAAATGGAACAGCTAATAGAATTCGCTTTTGGCTTATAAATGGACCTCTGAGTCATTTCTAAGGTTCCTCTTGATTTTGGCATCGAAGTGCAACTAAAATGCATAGAATCACAAACTTGAAGAGAATGATTACAGAAAATGTATAATGACAATTAGATGTTATAGCCGAGGGAATTTATCAAGAATAGATAATTTAATTCAGATGTACAGAAAAATTATAATATCACCAAAGCATAATCTTAAATTTCTGATATTCAACTTCTTAAACATGTAATAAAATTTCTATACCCTCAAAAGCCACAACATGGCCTCAAATTAGACACTTTGCACAAGAAGACTCCGCATAAAGATGAACTCTGAAGAGACTATATGAAACCAGTTTATCAGTCTTATATCAAAATCAAGACTCAGGAATTCATAATTGAATTTCACCTTTTCACACGCTGAAAGAATGTCACTTTACATCTCAGGTTCAGAGAAATCGAACTTTTCCGTATTTTCCTCTTTTCAGTTCCCCAAAAAGACTAGAAAAATAAATGACTGGGTAATATGTTTCATCTGTGTTATTGGAGTGGGAGACTTGGACAGAGCAGACTCAAAACATATCTTAATTAAGAGAATCTCATCTCAGAAACAGCGGAAGAGAATGAGGAGTGCTGCATGTCCACCTTTCCTCATAGAAAGAAGTATACAACTGACTAAGGTTAAACCTTGGGACAAAAACAGATCCGATAGAAACTACACAGAAAGATAACAATCTAGGATTTACCTTCAAGCTGGTAATAAGCTAAGAGTCTCTCTTGTCATTCAGATATGCAAACAGTTGTGTGAATATGTCCTTGGAAAGTTCAATTAAGACTGCGAGTGGATTGGAGGAATTGCTTTTCCCAAGTTAGACAACTCAGCTCATTGGAAAACACTCAAATTCAGCCATGGTAATGAAGCAAAAGTTTTTGCAAGGAATGTTCTTATAACACAAAATATGAATGTATAACAGTAAGCAACTTAAGTTTTCACACTCATAACATGAGCACAGAAATATACCTGAACAAGGGGCCTCTATAGGCAGAGGGTCCAGGGCAAGTAGTTGTTTGGAGATAATAAGCATTATGGATATCAAAACCAGACCCACTTGCACCTTTCTCATAAACTTCACAATCAAACTGCAATATAGAGTTCAAGCCAGCTTTTTTCACAAACACCTTCATCAAAAATTCCCTCGCGTAACATGGATCCAGCAAAACTGTAACAGCAACTTCCTCACCGGATTCACATTTTCTCCTCAAAACAATATCTTTAGAATTTGATGAATCCCAATCCATAACAAAATCTCCCAAAGACCCATTTCGGTTTCCCTTCATCCATGTCAATTCATGCACAAAATAATAAGTACTTCAAACATATTTATAGATAACACTAAATCCAACATCAGAACTGCTTTGAAAATCGCCAAACAATAAAAATTCCTTGCCTTTTATCATTGCAAATGTTTTACAGGGAAATTTTTTTTGGCAAATATTCTTCTAATTAGTTTGGTGTTGAAAGCAAAATAATTATGGTGCCTACAATTAGCTTCTAACACCAAGCCCATTATTGAGAATTGCTTTATATTACTAATCCCAGCAAAAATTCCTATAAAATAAAAATTCATTAAGGGAAAAAATATATAGTGTCTGCATTTTGATTTTTAACACTCCCATTATTAAGGATTATTTTCTATTACTAATCCCAAGAAAAATTTCTTATCTTTTACCATTCCTTATATATATTAATATGAATAACAGAAACTTAGATGGTAAAAGAAGGCGAAAAGAAAGAAGAGAAAAGAGACCTGAACGTGAGGAGAGGAGAGTTCATGTTTGATTTCAGACCGCAAGACCTTGCGCAAATCTAGATCTCCAAGTGCCTTTTGACACTTTAACAATATTTGGGTCGCTCTAAACATTTTTCTCTGCCAAACTTCGAGCTTTAGCTTAATGATCTTCACTCTTCAGGATCATGAGTTCCGTTCTTGTTCTGCTCTGCTTGACGAAGCGTAATTCATCTGCAGATGGGCGTTTACGTAATAAGTCTAAAAATGGGCCTTTCCAGTTTCCTCAGTGGAGACCCACAGGCCCAATATTCTCCATTTCTTCAGTTAATGGGCCATTTGGTGACTTCGGGCTCCGTTGGATATGACAAAATATTTAAACAGAAATTAATATTTTTAGTTAACTTTTTATTATCATATATAATTTTTATTTTTTCTTATTTTATTATCATATATATATAATATAATATACCCAATTCCTTAATTCCATCTCCATCTTCTAAATTCCATTAACCTCCTCTCAGTAATTTAATTTGGCAGACTAATCTTTGTTAGTAATTCTGTTATTATTAGCAAAGCATTTTAAGGGCTACTCTTAGCAGCTACCACTAGTTCTTTTCGTGCATAAATTCCGACCACAATGACTTGAGCTCTTCATAGGTGCCTGAAAATATCATTTTGGTGTTCCTTAATTTGTTTATGTGGTTCTTGTTTTTCATTTCTTTTTGGCATTCTCATAATTTGAGTTAAATCTGAAAATTTAGGTATTAAAGTCGGAGGAGATAAGACTATAAGAAATAACAATTAGACGTGTAAAAGCTATTGTACTCTCCAAGTAATAATATTGCTCACAAGCTTTTTCCATGGCGAGTTGCTAATCCTTTTAAAGAATAACAATTGTGCACCTAATATTTTGGAATCATAAGGCTCTGTTTGGTAAGGTATTTATGAGATCAACACTTGGCTCTTGAGGTAGAGATAGAGGCAAGCTCTAATAATTTATTAGAAAGGAGATAGGTCTGTCTGTGTATTTTTAGAAAGGTGAGTTAAGATGTGTCCATCTTAAGCATGTGATGATGCAACTACACTCAAATTGGCACAGAAGGTTCTATAGAAATGGGGCTCTACCCTTTAATATAAGATCCACAGTCTATATTTTATGGCATTATGCCAACTGTCAAATTTATTAATCTAAAAAGTGATATATTGTGTTGCCCTATGATTATAGGGACAATTTTGTCTTTCCATTTAATAAATTATATTAAACCCACTTGCTCATAAACTTACTTATGCATGAATTAAATTAAGGTAGATCTAATTCAGTTTTTCAAATGTAGCCTCATCATTTTTTCAACTTATTTATCTTGAAAATATATTTTTTTTTCATTTTTTTCTTTGATAGTTGGATTTTTTTTTACTTAATTTCTTGATCGGATGCGTTAAGTAATTTAATTCAATAAGTAATTCAATTAATTAATTAAGTAATTAATTACTAGTTTTCTATTGGGCAGGAGGAAAGAAAAGAAGATAGGGATAGCGTTTTTTGAGTTTGAACTTTAATCAGAGTCAAATTAAGAAGACAAAAGTATAATCTTTCTAATTTCTAATTAGTTTGGCTTAGTAATACTAGAATTATTTTAAAATTGTGATTACAAATGCAAATCTCCAATTGGAGTCAATTTAAAAAAAAAAAAAATTTATATTACTAATCAATAAAAGATCACATAAGCTTCACAAATGATGGACTTCAAATTGAATTCCAATGATTACAATCTTGAATTGAAACCTCAACAATCTTCACATTCCAATTTCAATGGAGTTGGAAGCTTCAAAAAGACAAACAAAAAACCCATAACAATATACATGGATAGAGATGAGATTGTGACTGCGAAAATGGTTGAAACTTGTGTTAAGAGATTAATGGCTTCAGATGAAGGAGATGGAGTGAGATAAAGAGCTGCAGAATAAGGTGAGTCATTGCAACGTTCAATGGGTAGAGGTGGAGTTTCTCGTTTTGAACTAGACTCTTTTATTGATTATATTTCTTGGTAAGTTTTTCCCATACATATGACTCAAAAACAGAACATCATTTTACCTAGAAATATAAGCAACGAAAGAGTCTATTTCCAAACGAGAAACTCCACCTCTACCCATTGAACGGTGTAAGGACTCACCCAATTCTGCAGCTCTTTTTCTCACTCCTTCTCCTTCATCTGAAGCCATTAATCTCTTAACACAAGTTTCAACCATTTTCGCAGTCACTATCTCATCTCTACGACACCAATCCTTGATAACAATCCCAATCTTGAGAAGATCAGTTATTAAAACTGCATTTCTTGGTTGATCTGAATGCATTGGCCAAGCTGCTATGGGAACTCCCATAGTAATACTCTCCATGCAAGAATTCCAACCACAATGACTCATAAAACCTCCTATTGCTTGGTGGGCTAAAATTTCTAACTGTGGCACCCATTCTCTTACCACTATTCCCATCCCTTGTATTGAATCTTCATACCCTTTTGGTAGTTCAGCCTTTTTCTCACTATCTTTGTTAAAAACATCTCCTTTATCAGCATCTCTTAGTACCCAAATGAATTTTTGATTGCTTTTCTTTAGCCCAATAGCTAATTGCTTGACTTGTTCATTACTCAGAGCCGTCGTAGTACCAAATGACACAAAAATAACTGAGTTTCTTTCTTGTTTGTCTAGCCATTTTAAGCAGAAGTGCTTTTCGTTTAATCCTTTCTTGTCTGGTATGGTTAACGGATTGAAAGGCCCTAATGCCCAATGCTTCTTGATATTCTTCTCCACTGATTCTTTCTCTTGGTTTTCAATTAAGTCCATATAAATACCTTCTATTAATCTGCTTGTGTTGTAAATACAACCTGAATTGAACTTATGGTACTGGTATTCAGACGCGACGAAATCCAAGAACTCATTGGTGAAACAACCTTCAAAAGGAGGAAGTTGTTTTGGGACGGCGTCGTTTAGCTTTATATTTCTCCCCATTTTCTCCGAAAGAAACAAGCAGAGAGTAAAAGCAGATACACTGTGGAAAGTGTAAGATTCTGCATTGGAAATGAACTGAATTTCTTGAACTACTGACCCCATTAAAGAATCATGAATAACAATAATCTTTCTTGCTTGGCAAGAAAGCGAGCGGAGAAGAAAAGACACCGGTTCTCGGAGATTAGATACAGAGGCGAAAGTGTAAGATTCTGCATTGGAAATGAACTGAATTTCTTGAACTACTGACCCCATTAAAGAATCATGAATAACAATAATCTTTCTTGCTTGGCAAGAAAGCGAGCGGAGAAGAAAAGACACCGGTTCTCGGAGATTAGATACAGAGGCGTAGAAAGCCGGAAGCAGGTGAGAAGGGAATTTGTTTTTTGCATTTGGGTTTGCAGAAGGACATGAAAAGGTAGGGATTTCAAAGTCATGAAAATGGATACTGGAAGTGGCAGCTGCCGCTGCTTGTGGGTCCCACCCATGAACGCGGAGCTTGGCTTGGCGGTTATGGGTGGTGGTGCCAACGAAGTGGACCGGAATGTCGTAGGATAAGATTAGCCTGGAGAGTTGTAGTAGTTGGTTGAGGTGGCCTTGTGCAGGGAGAGGCACCATAACTACAATAACTTTTGTTTGTTTAAAGCCATATAGGGCATGTGCTTGTTGGCCTTGGCTTTGGTGGTTAGCCATTTGGTTTTCTGTTTGAAAATACGTTTAGGATAAGTTTCAGTTCGGCATATGGAATAGATAGAACCCTTTTTATAAGGGGAACACAAGGAATATTCCCGGAAGTAAACAAAATGAATAATATTTTAAAAGCTTATTACCGATTTATCTCTTTTTCGGTGAATAATCAGAAATATCCTCATTTGAATAAAAAAATTTATTATATGGGTGGATCTATACACCGAATGTAGATAAAAATTTTCCATAGTGATAATTGACTAGTTTTAGAACTATAGAATAATTATAAACTTAAATCTCAATTTCAACATAATAAAGGATACTAATGTTAATTTGTAAAATTGCTTATCCTTAAGTAAAATTTGTACAACTAGTGATCTCAATCAATCAATCAAAGAAAAATTGAAACAAAAAGAAAGTTGTGAGCTAATAATTAACTACATGTGGTTTGCTGGAGTAAAGGAAAAGCTCCAATTAAGTTCTAATGGAAATCTGTAATAATGCATTGAAGTGAAGATTTCACAGTGAAAAGAAAAAGATATTTCATAGTTGCAAAGATTATTATGATTTATGTTGAGAATGATTTTACATGCTCACAAAGACAATCAAAAACTTATTTTGTTGTCTAAAAATGGAGTGTTCCTAAAAGATGTAAATACCATGGGTACTTTTTCCAAAGATATTTTGCTTCATCTTAAGTTGTGCAATAAATTTCAAATTTATAGTACTGATATTTTAGAGATTTTTATTTGATATTTCAAATTTGCAATGAATTTTTTTATATATATATGTTAAAATAGAAAACACATTTGGCATAATTAACTTGTGCCAGGCACAATAAGAGTACAAATGGGGTGAAAAATATATAATGTCCTTCAAACATTTTTAATCATTTTATTATGAGGTGGTAGAACGGTGATGGTGGTTGTGGTGCTGACATAGTAATGTTAAATAGCCTTGAATGAGAATTTTGATTGGGTTGATTTGATATAATAGGTATTACATGTACTTGATATAATTGATAATATATGTGTTTTTTTATATAATGAATATTACATCAATTTAAATAATGAAGATTATATATGTAATTTTTATTATTTTACAATGTTAAAAAATAGTGTAATCAAATAATGTAATCAGTCATGTAATGTAATTTTCGTTCTATTACATGATTGATTACAGCGTACCAAAGACACCCTTAGGTTCTAAAATTTTAATGTTAAAAATATTTTTAATATATGTCGAAATTCAAATAGGAATCAAATATGAAACCTCATAATAAAAAGTTTTAATTATTAGATACCCTTAGGGATACTAATGTTTTAGAGATTCAAATCCTTGTTTCTTCCTTCATGTATATTTCTTTGTGTGCGTAAGTGTTATTTCTTCCAATTGAAAGATAGGAAAAAAAATTTAAGAATTGTGATAAGTGAACATAGAAAATCTCAAAGAAAATGTAATGCCATATTTGGTATGGTGTAATTAATCATGTAATGGAATGAGAATTATATTACATCATTAATTACATTGTTTGGTTAGACCTTTTTTTTTTTTGACATTGTAATGTAATTGAGATTACCTATGTAATCTCCATTCCTTAAATTGCTGTAATATTCATTACATAAAAAAAAAAAAAAAAAAACTCCATTCCTTAAATTGCCCCTGTATATTCATTACATAAAAAAAAAAAAAAAAAAAAAAAAAAAAAAAAACACATGTATTGGTCATTATATTAAGCACATGTAATACCAGTTACATCAAGTCACTCCAATCAAAATTCTAACACTACCACAACCGCTTGATCACCACTACCACCACCACTTCAACCACTCTACCACCACTATAACCATTCAAACACCACCACCACCGCTCCACCACCACCACAATCACTCTACCATGACCACCATTTAATAAAAATTATATTTTATTATTTAATATGCAATGCGGAATAAAAATTATATTCTATTCTTTTATTTTATTATACAAATGGAAAAAAATAAAACGAAAAGGCACAAAAAATATCAAAATGCACATAATTTTATGTTGTAATTTAATTTATTCAATGAAAATATATTAATTTTATGTTGTAATTTAATTTATTCAATGAAAATATATGAAAAAATCAATTTCTAATGACTTTAACTTTTATTTTGTTATATTACATTTTTTTAGATTACATTCTTTTAATTTTTTAGTTTAAATAAATTTATAAATCTAAATGGTCTTTAATAGCATAAATAGCGAATAATTTTTTGTTCAAATATTTTTTGGTATAATAATGATGTGGTGATGATGGAGGGATGGAGTAATGGTTGTGGTAGTGATGATGGTGGTAGAGTAGTGATTGTGGTGGAGGTGTACTAATTACATTACATATTCACAAATAAACATAAAAAGGAACGGCGATTACATTCAATAAATTTTCTCAATTACATTACTAAACATAATTATGGAACCTTGATTACATTCCATTACATTACATTTTTCATTGTATTACATTTTTTATTATATTGCATTGCATTACACAAACACAAAGCTAGGAATGATAGATATGTACATTGTGTACATGTTTTACACCAACACAAAGCTAGGAATGAATCAATACAAATCAATCTGAGCTAGACAAAATCAATTTATTATATATAAAGTAAGTTCAAATATTTATATTCGCTATTGAATTCATATGTATATATATGCTCATCAATTTTATTAAGTTTAGCTATCTACCACCTGAGTTAAAGACCTTCAGTTTCATTAATGTAAACCAAACATATCCTAAATAAGTCATAATCTATCAAATGTTTCATAAACTTACATAAATTAATTAATGTTATCTAAAAACAAAAAGAATGAACCAAAAGATGAATTAAAGAAGCTACATGACAAATGAATTGAAGAGACAGCCAGCAAACTTTCCCATCTCCACAATCTTTAATTCTTAAAGTTTGATGGTTATGTCAGTTGGGAAAACAGCTAACAAACTTTCCCATCTGTATTAATTACTGTTTGTCTGAGGAAAAATCTGCAGGCCCTAAATTCTCTTATCCACTGTGTATTCATTTCTTGAAGGGTTATAGTTACTATGTCTATGGCCACATATTATATAACTAGTTATGAAGGAGGTAGATATACATAATTAAAATAGTTAGATGTTGCTTTCTATATGCAATTTTTTTTTATCTTCTATCTATCTTTTTGGACACCCACATGTATCTATGTATATAGATTCTATTGAAGCTAGTCACAATATGATAATTTTAATAATAATAATAATAACATATTTATATTTTTGAAAATAAATTAATAGAAATATTTTTCTGATCACCGTCATGGATTATCATCTTATTTGTTTTCCTTTTCATATTTAACAATAAATTAAATGAGATGTTAATTAAATTTTTACGTGTCTAAATATTTTAGAGTCTATAAGTTAAATATATTAATATCTTCTAATGAACATTCAGTATTGCAATCAAACAACATAAAAATAAGTTTTTCAAAATATATTTTCTAAGAAGATTTGTTAGAGATAATTTTTTTTCTAACAATAATAAAAAAAAAAAGAAAAAAATCGGAAAATTATGAAAAGACACTGAAAAAAGAACAAAAGAAAACAAAAGGAGCTACTGGTAAGAAACTCTCCGATGTTTGCCTAAAAAGAAAAAAAGGGGTAAGTTCGATCATTACTTCACTATTATTTCTTTATGAAAAAATAACTGAATTTATGTTTATTTTTTTTCAACTTATTCTTGTTTAAGTTCTAATGTTTATTAAGCTGATATAACAATTTGAATAATAGATTTTAACTAATTTTAGCAAGTGTTACAAACATTTTTTTTTTTTAGAACGAGGTGGTGTAATCCATATTCGGATTATATAGCACAAAAATATTTAATTTTTCCGAAAAAATACATTTTTAAAAAAAATTAAATTTATATTTTCATCCCTAAGGATATTCAACCTATCAAAACAAAACATAATCGAAAAAACATAATTGAAATTCACGTTTTGATTTCAATTTGTAAACATCAGAACATTGCCCGTAAACAGAAGCACCAGCTAAAAGCCAAAATGTGAAGTCCTAGTCCAAATCCTTATCCACATAGATTTGCTAAGGAAAAAAAGGTTAAAGCTATATATATTATAGGAGCTAAAATCATAGCTTACTTAGGTTTATATGGTCATGGAAGCACTCTCAAAGGGAAAATAGCTCTTCCAGCACATGCTCACGTTTATATGGTCCAATACCTTTCCCGCCACAACGGACAACGCCTAACAAACCTAACTAATACACTAATATATTTTAATTATAGTCAAATTAACTCGGAAAACTTTCTATTTTTAAAATTAATTAGGATATCTATAATTTATTTATAGTCCCTAAACACGTTGAACTTTCCATCCAAAATAGCTTCTTTTAATTATTAATTGATTGATTGGTCCCTAAATTATAACATAATTAATTATAAAATATATAATTTATGATTTTCATTACTACTCTAGTCCTTCCTTTATAGTTTCCATTGACACCTTAATCCTTATATTTTTTATAGAAGGATCAAAGTGTTAATAAAATCGTAATTTAAGAACACTATAGTTAAAATTTTTCATGTATTAATTTGATTATAACACAGAACCAATTTATATGTTTTTTAAAAATTTATATTTATATTTAAAACCGATATTCCAATAAAATATAGTCTTATTAATTTTATTACCTTTCTTATATAAAGAGTGAGAAGTCTTGTATTCGATTTTTTTTCTATCCAAAGTATTCGTTCCAACCAAACTGATCACAATTGTTTGGATAGCAGCAACTCATGACATGTTTTTTTTTTTTTTTTTTTTTTAGCAAACTCATGACATGTTTTTTTTTTTTTTTTTTTTCATACAAGAGTATGTTTTTTTTTTTTTTTTTTTTTTCATACAAGAGTATGAACATGGGAATTATTGTTAGGATTACAGTTGTTGGCTTTGGTGCAGAACCCTTTTTGTTTTTCCCTCTTCGATTATGATTTGATGGCTATTATTTGAGAAGAAATTGAACCATCTAAAGTCTAGGCTTTTGGGTATCTTATCCCAATTCATTCAATTCGATAGAAAGAAACCAATAATGCTTAAAAAAGATGCTATCCATCCACGGTTCCAAATGGCTTGTTGTACCTCCCTGCATGGACATGTCTATCTGTCTTCTTCGCAATCATATAGTTTTGATTAAGATGTAAAAGAACTTGAATACTCAGTTTCATTTTTTCTTTTGTTTTTCTTTCTTACAAAACTTCTTCTTTTTGCCACCAAATGATAGAAGAACAAAGTCATGGCTATTATTATAAAATGAAAGGAATCTAAATAAAACCGATCGATGAGATGAATTTTCACTTCTTTCAACTAAATTTTTGGTTCTATGCCTTCTGTCCATAAAACTAACAAAAAGGAAACATTCATATTTTCCTAATTATTTTAAAAACCCTAAATGCAAACTGATCAAATACCCAATCAAAGTCAATTGAAAAAAATATCTTCCTAGTTAATTGTAGAGGATTGGACTTACCTAAAATCGGTATATGAGTCCGCCCCACAGATGATAGACATAAAAATACATTTACAGTAACCATTCAAACTTGCAATAATCTTCAAATTCCAATCTCATTGGAGTTGGAGGCTTGCTTTAAAAAGACGACCAAATAGAAAACACATAACACAGATAATATAACCAAACTTAAAATTTAACTAGAAATATAAGCAATAAAAGAGTCTATTTCCATGCGAGAAACTCCACCTTCACCCATCGACCGTTTCAACGAGTCACCGAATTCTGCAGCTCTTTTTCTCATTCCATCTCCTTCATCTGAAGCCATTAAGCTCTTAACACAAGTTTCAACCATTTTCGAGGTCACAATCTCATCTCTACGACTCCAATCCCTAACAATAACCCCGATCTTCAGAACATCAGTTATTAAAACTGCATTTCTTGGTTGATCTGAATGCATTGGCCAAGCTGCTATTGGCACTCCCATAGTAATACTCTCCATGCAAGAATTCCAACCACAATGACTCATAAAACCTCCTATTGCTTGGTGGGCTAAAATCTCCAGTTGGGGCACCCAGTCTCTTACAACTATTCCCATCCCTTGTATTGAATCTTCATACCCTTTTGGTAGTTCAGCCTTTCTCTCACTGTCTTTATTAAAAACATCTCCTTTATCAGCATCTCTTAGTACCCAGATGAATTTTTCATTGCTTCGCTTTAAACCAATGGCTAATTGCTTGATCTGTTCATTATTCAGAGTCGTCGTAGTACCAAACGACACATAAATAACCGAGTTTCTTTCGTGTTTGTCTAGCCATTTTAAGCAAAAGTGCTGTTCTTGTAAACGTTCTTTGTCCGGTATGGTTAACGGATTAAAAGGCCCTAATGCCCAGTGCTTCTTGATGTTCTTCTGCATTGATTCTTTCACTTCGTTTTCAATTAAGTCTATGTAAGCACCTTCTATTAATCTGCTAGTGTTGTAAATACAACCTGAATTGAACTTATGGTAATCATACTGGGAGGCGGTGAAATCCAAGAACTCATTGGTAAAACAACCTTCAAGGGAAGGAAGTTCTTCTGGGATCGTTTCATTTAGCTTTATATTTCTCCCCATTTTCTCCGAAAGAAACAAGCAGAGAGTAAAAGCAGATACACTGTGGAAAGTGTAAGATTCTGCATTGGAAATGAACCGAACTTCTTGAACTACTGACCCCATTAAAGAATCATGAATAAAGTGTAAGATTCTGCATTGGAAATGAACCGAACTTCTTGAACTACTGACCCCATTAAAGAATCATGAATAACAATAATCTTTCTTGCTTCGCAAGAAAGCGAGCGGAGAAGAAAAGACACCGGTTCTCGGAGATTAGATACAGAGGCGTAGAAAGCCGGAAGCAGGTGAGAAGGGAATTTGTTTTTTGCATTTGGGTTTGCAGAAGGACATGAAAAGGTAGGGATTTCAAAGTCATGAAAATGGATACTGGAAGTGGCAGCTGCCGCTGCTTGTGGGTCGCATCCATGAGCGCGGAGCTTGGCCTGGCGGTTGTGGGTGGTGGTGCCGACGAAGTGGACCGGAATGTTGTAGGATGATATTAGCCTGGAGAGTTGTAGTAGTTGGTTGAGGTGGCCTTGTGCAGGGAGAGGCACCATAACTACTACAACCTGTGTTTTTTTTAAGGTATTTTGGGCATGTGTTTGTTGGTGTTGGTGGTTAGCCATATGTTATCGTTAGAAATTAAGTTTAGGATAGGTTTCGGTTTGTGCATAGAGGACCCTTTTTATAATGGGAATAGAAGGGAAATCGTACGATATAAAAAAAATCAAATAATGATAGTTATATATATATATATATATATATTCTTTTTTGTTATAATGGTATATTGATACTTGACTCATTTTAGAAATTAGTCTTGTATTTATCCGTTTCGCAGAATGTGCAATTTGATTACATTATTTTTTTAAAATTTATATAACATTTTATGAATTTAGTTTTTGTATTTTTATCATTACATTCTAAAATTATGAGATATAAATTTTAATCACTTATATGTACTAATTGAATCTAATAATTAATAACCCTATAATAAATTTATTGCACTAATGAAAATACTTTTTGATTTCTTTTTTTTTCAATAATTAATAATCCAAACAATAAATTTATCATATTAATGAAATTAATTATTGAAAATTACTGATAATATTACTGATAATATTATTAAATAATATTAATTTTATTAGTCATTAGAAAAAGTAACTGAAAAATTTTATTATTTGAATAATATTAATGGTAGTATTAGTTACTTAAATTGATTAAAAAAAAAACTGAAGAGCATTTAATATTATTATATTAAAAAAGAAACTGAAAAAATTTATTATTTGAATAATATTAATGGTAGTATTAGTTACTTAAATTGATAAAAAAAACTGAAGAGCATTTAATATTATTATATTAAAAAAGAAACTGAAAAATTTATTATTTGATATCAATTCAATTGCAGAGATGCGTTGAGAAATATCATAAGTAAATAATATGCATGCAATTGAATTTCAACACTCCACTCATAAATCGGTATATGTACTCTTTAACAACAAATTATAACGCTGTTCTTTTCTGTTCCAAAAAAAAAAAAGATATTTTGTTTCATCTTAGGTTGTATAATAAATTTCAATTTTATAGTACAGATATTATAGACATTTTTTTATACGTCAAAATTGAAATGAATTATACATTTTCTCTTTGCAATTACCATTTTGGTACAAAAGGAAAGGAAAAAAAATTCTCCTTGACTTAAAATGTTGTCTAATTTTAGTTTTGTATTTAAATCAAGATAACACGATATGTTATACAATATACGTAGTGATCATCTGGATTTGCAAAATTGATAAAATTTCTTGTAATAGAGAAGATTCAAACTCGCTTATCTAATTTTAACTTTTTAAATATATAGTGATGCACCATTCTATATATAATATAAACATTTATAAAAAAAAAAAAAAAATATAAACATTTATAAAAAAAAAAAAAAAAACAAAAAAAAAAAAAAAAAGTCATCATTTGTTCCTTCAATATCGCTCTGCGTATGTATGTCCAATTGAAGCATAGGAAAAGAAATATGTGACATGTGAAATGTGAAAATAGGAAATTTGAAAGGAAATGCAAATGTCAAAGGCCTAGACGAAATTTTTTCTTTTAGCTAGATGAATTTATTTATGCATGTAATGACAATATATAGTTTCCCTCTTTGTACTCTAATAAATTGATATATAATTTTGTTTTATTAAATAATATGTGAATGTATCAACATGGTTTGTTTGAGCAGAAAAGACTCAAAGTTTTAAGTAAAAGAAGCGTCGTTCTTTGTAAATTAAGAAAATTTTACATCATATATATATTATTATTAAGGTAAATATATAAATTTACCCCTTCACTTTATTACTTTAATTTTGCAGTTCTCTCAATTTGAAAGAAACATATTGTGTCCTGAAAATTACTAATTTTGATAGCATTTTTACACCTTTCTACACTAATAACAATAGTTTTTAGGAATTTTTGAGTTTTACATGCAAAAAAATTATTTAATACGTGGTGAGCATAATTTTTGAAACAATAATTTTTATATTTTTTAACCATTTAAAATTGATTTAAGTTTGCAAGTTAAAATGTTTAATTCGTATAATTTTATAAATTAAAATGTTCAATAAATCAATCTATAAATAAATAATGATTTTTTTTTTTTTTTTTTTTTTTTTTTTTTTTTTTTTTTTTTGCTGTTGCTGAGAGAAGATTGAACCCACGGCTTTTTCGTGAATCCTTCAATTCAATCTCTTCGGTGCTTTTTTTTTTTTTTTTTTTTTTTCTCGTGCTGAGAGAAGATTGAACCCACGGCTTTCGTGAATCCTTCAATTCAATCTCTTCAGGTGCTTTATCCCGCTGAGATACCCTGTTAAGGATAGACTAATGCACTTTCAATGATGCCGCTAAAACAACACCACAATATGTAGCTTTCATTGGTCAAGGTTTCAATTCATTTGGTTGACAATTGACATTATTGTCATCAAGGGGCAGGATGGTTGTGTCTTCCACACGTGCCACCAATCTTCATATTCCCACTGCCACTTCACATACACTTGGGACCCATCGTCCTTTTACACCTGCCAATCTCTATAGCATGTGGTGTATTAACATAGTAATTCATATTGGTAGTTGAATTACAAAATAGCCTACTTACCCCTTATTTGTTTATAAAAAAAAATAATTGAATTTATTTTTATTATTTTTCAACTAATATGTTTGCTTATTTTCTTGATATTAATATGGGTTTAGCTATGTATTAAGCGAAATGAAAATAAATAATTTATATAGTCGACTTAAAACTTATTAAGAATTAAAAATTAGTTCTTTCAAAAAAAAAAAAGAATTAAAAATTAGTAATTTTTATTTATATTTATCTGTCTTGATTATTATTTATAATATCTATAAATAAATACATAAATGTGAAAAAGAGCATAAAGAAGCCAAAAATAACATTTAGTATAATGGTTATTTATAAAAAAAAAAAAATTAGTAAACATTTTTAATACTCTCAACATCCACAAAATAAAGGTTATTTTTTTCCAAGTCAACGGACACTGTGGTAGAAGTGCATCTCGCATAGGCTTCCTGCACGTGCAAGATATATAAGTCGATAGAGCTGTAAATCAATTTCACAATCAGGATTAAATTGAAAAAATTTTTCAATTAAATTCTAAAAATAAAATTCATAACTAGTATGTATATTTAAGGACACTCTTAAAAATCTGGACCCTAAATCAAATTAATCAAATTCAACTAATAATTCATTTAATATGAACTTATAATGAATTAGGTTTTCCTTTAATATAAAATGACTTAGGACATTTTGATTGGTTCACCTTACTTGTTATATATCATTTACTAATTTATATTGTTTATCTAAAATGAGATTACCCATATACTTCAAATACGTTTAATCTAATAGATGATTTGTATTCAAATAATCGATATAAGTTTCAATCACCTTCTGATTTCATCAATTGTATTTTTGAATTTTTTATTATGAGCTGCTAGCTAATTTATTTTTACATTATACTTTGACTCTATTAACTTTATAAAATAATTATTAAATTTTTTTAAAAGTTTTATGTAATCATTCTCTTTATAATTCTTTTAAACATAATAAATTATTACTAAATTTTTGCAAAAAGTAACAAATATTTTTGTTTATACAATACAATAAAATAAAAAATAAATACAATATTTTTTACATTAAATATAATCGAGAGATTAAATAGTAATTTTTTTTTTATTTGAATTTTTTAACACCAGAACTTTAAATTGGAATTAATTTATGCATTTTATCAAAAAAAATTAAATATTTAAATATTTATTTCATATAAAAAATTTATAATTGAGAGTATAATATATTCTCGTAAATTTTGGAGTGCCTCGATAAGGACGAATCTATATGCTTGACGTAAATATCTATTCTGATCAAATCGACAATTGCATGCATATCTTGCAATTCATGACATGATGATAGACGAAACCAACAGTGGGCCAATGGGACAATGGACCCACTAAAATTTAAAAAGAAATTAGAATATGTTTGTAATTATCTCTTAAAACGCTCAAATCATGTTCACTGAAGTTGTTCACATTTACCACTCAAATCATGTTTATTGTGAATAATTCATCAGATAAAAGTTACGTTAGACTGTTAGACCCTTCTCATTGAATTTTCTATTTACGTCATCATCGTAAATAATTGATTGGATAAAAGTTATTTACATGTACCATTAGATTGTTGGACCCCTCTTATTGAATTTTCTAACTACATTATTGTGAATAATCGATTATATAAAAGTTGTTCATATGAATCGTTAGACTATTGGATCCCTCTCATTGAATTTTCTAACCACATCATTTTGAATAATTGATTGGATAAAAATTATTCACGTGAACGTTCAACCGTTGGATCTTCTCGTTGAATTTTCTAACAACGTGATTATGAATGATTGGATAAAAGTTTTGAAGATAAACTTGAGCAATATGGACTTATCTAGATTTGGACAAGTCACTAATCAAGCTTCTCACCCTTTAATAGATGTATTAGTGTTTATTCAATATGGGTTTCTTAAATTGCTGACTTTGATACAAAACCCCATTTTCTTTTCCCAACATTGGGCCCAACCAAATTGACAATTGCATGCACATCTTACAATTCACGACATATTCTTGTTTCATACAGAGGAATTTTAATATTGAGATTGGACCTTTTTTTTATTTTTTTTCCCATTTCTATTAAGATTTCGTCTCAACAATTATTTGCGAGATAGAAATTTAACCAATCTCAATAGAGAATAATGCTAAGAAAGGATGCATTTATCCACGTTTCCGAATAGCTTGTACCTCCCTCTAAGGACATGTCTCGTCTTAGCGATCATATACTTCTTGCTTTTCTTTCAAAAGTTTTGTTTGGCACCACCAAAATGTGTCCACCACACCTTTGACTTGAACAAGAAGAAGGTGGAAGCTGTCGGCAATACCACTAAAAATCATTTGATCTTGAAAATGGAGTTCACTTGTATCTTGTTGGGCCTTGAAAAATACCACTAAAGCTCTTGTTGGGAAGTAAATGCAAAGGTTTTGTCAACAGTGTAGCAGGTATTCATCTTTTGTCTCATGAAAAGTTACATTTTCACCTTCATATTTTTACTCCGCAAATTTGCTAATTTTAACTTCAGTTTTACAAGTCATTTCCTTTTGGTTTGTGATGCTTTTTCCTCGATTGTTCCATGCTGTGTATGTAATTTCTGGTTATCTTTGTTTTCTTTTTCATGGTTGCTTTGATTGAACTCACGGCGGGGAGAGAGATGCGACCTGTGGGGAAGCAATTTATGTCGATTGTACCAAGATCATCTCCTTCGATTTGGTGACCTGATTTTTGTTGTGGGGTCCCTCCAACATGTGGGATCCACAGACATTTGAAAAGAAAAAAATAATAATAATAACAACACGTTTTTGTTTTGACAGTCAAAGAGAGACTGCCTAATAAAGAAAAAAAAAAAAAAAACAAAGCACGTTACTCTTGTTATTCAAAGGACAGTGCCAAAGAAAGAAAGAAAGAAAAAAAGGAAAAGTGGAAATCTCTGTGACGCAGCTGAATTATTTGCCTATAGTGTGCGGTTCCCCTGCCGCCACAACTAATAGTGGAGGATTGACCACAGACCATATTGAAAAAGAGAAAAAAATAATAATAATAACAAGCCTTTTTTGTTTTGACAGTCAAAGAGAGACCTGGGCCTAATAAACGGGAAAAAAAAAAAAAAGAACAAAGAGCACGTTACTGCTCTTGTATTCCCAAAAGGACAGAATGCCGAGTCGTAAAGAAAAGGAGAGAGAGGAGAAAATATAAGGAAAAGTCGACCGCGTGAGGTTAACGTATCCATTTGCGTCCCCATCTTGTGTCTTATAGGAAAAGAAGGTTTTTCCTTCATATAAGAGCGTGACAAAATCATAGAATCAATATATCACTATGTAGTCGTTGTAGAGATATATTTGATGGAAAGGGGTTCCTAAAATTAGGCAAAGAGAGTAAATAGTGTAGGTTTAAATAATTTTGGGCTGTTTTTTTGGAAAAACATTGTTGTGTGCACATCGCTTGATTTATTGTAATCTCTTTTGTACCTATTACTATTTCTAGTAGAAGGAAGTTTATTGCGGAGTTTTTGTCTCCGTAGAACGTAGGCCCATAAAGTTGAAGGGATTTGACCACGGAAATTTCCGAGTGTTACTTCTATTTTTTCAATCTGTGCATTCACATGGTAATTATCTTAATTTTTTTAACCCGTGATTTATTTATATTTCTGGTGGGATATTCGAGTCGGGTCAATATCTATCAACTTATTTGTTAATTATTGGATAAGGTATACCTCGAGCTGTGCGTAGATCATAATTTTTTATTTAATTAGCCGTTTTTTACCCTGGAATCTGGATATTCGTTTTGTTCGCCGATGGCTCTCACTCGGGGATCTAGTTTAAGAAAATGACACCAAATAGGTTTTTTAGGGTTGAAGAACAAAAGAGAGCAGAAGGGAGTTGTTTGAGCCTGAAGAGTAGAAGATAGTAATGGGCCGTGAACTCCTGTCATTTGATAAAATCCAATTAATTTTTTATACATGTTGATCCCAAACGTGGGGCAGATATCGCATTAGTGGGTCGTCCCTAATGTGTCCCTTATTTTTTAATTTCCAGTGGCCCTTCCATCCTATTTGCCCAATAATACAGGTAGTAATTATGTTGAGTCGTCTAAAAAAATATGGTGGATTCGATCGTCAATATTCAATATTTAATTATTGGAGGTATATGTGGTAATAGTAATTTTATTTTACTTTTACCATCGGTATTTTTCCGTGGCCTCACTCGGGATCAGTTAGAATCCCAATAGTTTTTAGTGTTGAAGGAACAAGAGACAGAGGGAGTGTTGCCTGAAGAGGAGAGATAGTATGGGGAACTCTGTCAATTGATAAAATCCAATAATGTTTTATACATGTAGATCCAACGTGGCAGTCTTAGTGTCGTCCTATGTGTCTTTTTTTTAATTTCAGTGGGCCCTTTCCATCCTATTTGCATATACAGGTAGTATTATTGTTGAGTCGGTCTAAAAAATAAGTCTAAATTAGAGGTTTGAATTGGCGAAAGATGTAAAAAGTCATTATATAACTAGAAAAGTACCAAAAAGATCATTTGGGCCTAAAAACCCATAAATTGTAAATATCAGTATGTATTTAGGACATTTTTTAGTTTTTTATATATTTTTTAGAAAGTACATCTTACTTTCTTTTAGGACCCTATAATAAATAGGACAAACAAATTTTCTAATTGAGACTCAAATTTATACAAATAATCTAAATTATTTAACCGCTTTCAAATTACTTTTAAGTAGATATTATAGCTTTCCAAATTGGGTTGCGCTCGCTTAAATCTCAAATCGTTGGGCTTGAAATTTTCTGGCTAAGCCTCGCATTAGGGTGCAAACGAGCTTCGCTAATTCTAGGGAGACAAAGCTAGCAAGTTAAATTAAATTAAATTAGTGTGGACAAAATATGTAAGGTAAAATACACTGGGATTTTGAAATTATATTTTTATTTACTTTTATCTAAAAAACCAACATTTTTCATCTAAAAATGTGCATATAAAAAGTGTATTTTACTAACAGTGAACGCTGACCTTTTGAATAAAATGACTAACTAATGAGTTTAAGTAAAAGTTTGAGACATCGTATTAATTTCTCAAAAATAGAGAGGCGAAATTATTAATTCAAAAGTCAAGCTAAGCTTGGACTTGCCTAGAGCATGTATTACCAATTTAGCTTGTGAATTAGAAAATTTTGCATTTTGTTGATAATTTTACATTTTATCATATTTGTTAGGGTAAGGGCCTTAAGGCCTCTCTAGGCCCAACCAAACCAAAGCAAAAACAGGTCAAAACACACACAAATAATCACCATCCATAACCAAAAGCAAATGTAGGTTAGCAAGTAAAAAGAAATGTGCAGCTTATTATACAGCAGTACCAGAATCTCAATCTTCAGTTAACAACAATGATAACATTAATCTGACAAAAGCAAAATTGCATAAGATAGATATAAAAAATTTCATAAAACAAAAAAGTTTGTAAATTGAAATGTTTAAAAAGTGAGATTTGGCAACTTGCATAATACACATCAATATCCACTCAAACGTGAAAATGTAGCTGCTGCGTTGTTAAGCGCCAGTTAGAATTGAATGGCTGAAAATATTTTTGCTTTCCTCCCTCGTAACTAAAGGTAGCAGTGTAATTGAATGCCGAAAGAAAATGAAAATAAAGGGCCTTGCACAAATTTTCCTTTTTTTTTTCTTCTTTTTGTCTCTGCAGTTACCAATACAATTCAAGATGGAAGGCTCCAAACCATTTCAAATGTGTCCGTGTCGGTATTCCCTTTATTGTCTTTCTCTATAATTTAAGGGCTGCAAAGATTCTTGAGATCCTCTTCTTTGGCATACCAGCCTGGTATTATCTTCGAAACATGGGGATAGAGGTCCTTGTAGGAATTTCTAATTGTCCCTTCTGCAACTCCAGTAGCCTGTGAAATTTCTGCATCACAAGAACATTATCAATAGCACCCGCATATCTAGATTCAGCTGTCAAAGACTATTGCCGGTGAATATTAAATGAATTTTGAGTCTTGTAAATTAAGTGTCAGTAAAAAATAAGTCCATGCGCAAAAATAGTAATGATAAACCGTGTGATTCAGAGTAAATAGTGCACAAAAATTTTATGTGAACCTGTTTTGGTCTCATTTAAACTAAAAGCATAAGATCACCAAACCTCGGAGAGGCTTCTTATCATCTGAAAGCTGAGAAATGATATAAATGACTGCTGCTGCGATTGATATAGGACTTCTCCTGCAAGCATTGGAAGCAAAAATAAAATGTCAAAAGGAACCCAACAATCATTAATTTACTGCGTTCAGACATCAGCTTTATAAACATTGCTTCAACTGCATATCTATCCTTTACTTTTTACAGTAAGAAATTTTATTAAATAAAAAAGGAAAACACAACATGAAGAATAAACACAAACACAGATCATAAAAGATGCTACCGCAGTAATAATAGCTTTAGGAACACTCAAACTCCTCCTCAAAAGCCCCAAACAAGAAACCAATGGAATCACCTAATATATAGAAAGTGATTTTTTAAAAGGCTCTCCATTCCTAGCCAAGAATGGACTTTAAAAAAAGGCTCCTCAATTTCTTTCACAAAATAGCATGAAGTTTGTCAAATTTGAGGAAATAGATTTCTGAAATCAATTAGACTTTTGCATTAAAGGAAAACAATTTAGACATTATTCCTATTGATGATTGCTTCAAAGCGAAATTTGAAACAAATGCACAATCTCTACATTGCTTCCTAGGCCAGAGAGAATTTAGAGCGTTGTATGAGTGCACTAATAGATGGCGTGCCACAAAACAAAACTAATAAACCAACAATGCAACTTTAGAAAAAAATTCCCTTTAAAATATATTTTCTATTTCTTATGGATCCTATCAACATCCTTCTTGAACCACTGTACGCTTGAAGACTATCACCCAGTACCACTAGATGCCCATTTACAGCCTTCAATGTAAAATCTGTGCCATCTCAGTCACAACCATTAATTCCAAATCATCTAAACTGCAGATTCTATCAATTATCATGAATCACTTCTACTTATCCACACGAAAAAAAAAAAAAAATGGTCAATGGATAACTGTCAACGAAGTGATAAATGCTTTAAGCGTTAAAATAAACTAAATGACAAAAAAGAGGCACCACATGTTCTCCTTAATATAAACAAAAGAATAATTACTAGACGATTGTGATTACCTTATATCGAACTCTTCAGATTTTTGCACAGCTTCTTGGGCAGCTTTCATTGCTTGATTATTCATACCAAGATTTGAACAAAAACGCCTCTACATATCAAGTTAAGGCAACAATATGAAACATTTCTCCAGCAATATGAAACATTTCTCTAGGAATGAAAAAATAAAAAAAGAGCAATTAAATTTTCAATAAAAAGAAAAAGCAAAATGAAAACCCACCATAAAATCCCCAGCATGTATTGTTCCCATCTCCACTGACTGACCTGTCTCCAATCCCAGTTGTTTCACTATGTATTCTTTTGCTCGGCCAATTTCCTTCTTTGTGGCTCCATTGGCGACAGAGCAAATTTCTAGTTGAAATCCACAGGTTCAGGAAGCTCAAACACTTAGGGAAAGATAAATCAGGAAGCATCCAGATGTTAAAAGAATCTTAGGCTGTACCCTTTACAGTTCGTGGCTTGTCTTCTTGTCGACAAGCAATGTAGAGGCAAGCAGCCAATAAGGCATCCTGATTTCTTCCTCTACTGGACTTTTGATCTTCCACCTTTTTGTAGATCTCGTTAGCCCGATCCTTCAAAACATGAAAATTCCATTGTTAGGAGGAACAAAAGAATCATTACTGGAAATCAATTCTCAAGAGTACATAAATAGAAAAATAAATGAAAAAGAAAACAAGCAGTCAAAAGGCATCAAAATCGAAATTTTCAAAGATATTTGTAAGGTTGTAGTCAGGGTTTTAAGTAATCGAGTTAAATGTGTGCACATTGTCAACAGTATTAAAATATTAAAAATAGATGGCAAAATGACACAATTTACATTTGATATTAGTTAACATACCAATCTTTTTTTCAATGCCTAAAGTCAACTATGGTTCTCTGATCTCCACTCAACTAAGCCACAGAGAGAGAAAATTAGGGTTACTGGATTAGGATTGGCTACTAATTTAACTTGAAGCTAACCCTACGGAGGTAGAACCCTCCAAACTCTGGTACAAGCTGTTATCTACAGGAGGCACATAGTTTTCTAGTTATAATTGATCAATACAGCAGCTTCTTTTTTTTTTTTTTTTTTTTTTCAGCTAATAATATTAAGAAATTATTATAAAATAGATGGCAAGTGACACAATTGTACAATTTGATATTAGTTCATACCAATCTTTTTTTCGCACAAGTGCTAATAGCTCAACTAATGGTTCTCTGAGAAATCTCCCACTCAACTAAGCCCACAGAGAGAGAAAATTAGGGTTTATACTGGATTAGGATTGCTACACGCTAATTTTAACTTGAAGCTAACTTGACACGGAGGTAGTATACCTCTCCAATAACTCTGGTACAACAGGGCTCAGGCAAGCTTTTAATCTACAGGAGGCACATAGGTTTCTTAGTTATCAATTGGATCAATACAGGTTTTTTTTTTTTTTTTTTTTTGGTGGAAATAACAGTGTGAATGATTGAATTTATAAGTCAAAGTGTTAAAAACTACAAAAATGCAACAAAAAAAGTTCAAAACAAATTCAAAAATTATTCTGTAAAAAAATGTTATTTACCCTTCTACTTTAAAAAGTAAAATCCAACATACATAGAAATTGAATCAACATAAATCAGTTTATTTTTGTCAAGCGGCACAGATAAGAATTCTCATGGTTTCCTAAAGGAGAAAATTTGAAAATAAGAAACATAAAAAAGAAGAAAGCAAAAAAAAAAAAAAAAAAAAAAAAGAGAAGAGAAAAAAAAAAAAGGGAACATGTTACAAATACTAAAATAACGCGCGCGCGAGAGAGACGCTGACATTTACTAAATTCGAGAAGAGGTTTTCTTCATGGCAGAATTTTTTAGATGCCCACTTAAGGAACTAGCAGTCAAATTAAATTTTCAATAAGCCCAAAGTGAGTTCCAACCTTCGATGTCCTTCATCAAACTAAATGTTTGCTTGCCTAACAGAAATGTGAAGTGCCTTATATATCTTTTGAGAGAAAGGGGAGAGTAGACCTTAAGCCGTAATCAATATTATCAAAAATAGCATAAGGGCTTGTTTCAAGTCGCCTATCGCAACAAAGATTCGTGTGATTGAAAAAAAAAAAAAAAAAAAAAAAAGGGACATGTAACAAATATAAAATAAGGGAAAAGATTGTGACATTTTTTAAATTCGAGAGAGTTTTCTTCATGGCAAATTTTAGATGCCCACTTAAGAACTAGCAGTCAATTAAAGTTTCAATAAGCAAATATTCACCTCTATTCTCTTCAAACTAATGTTCTCTCTAACAGAATGATAAGTCCCTTTTCTGTTTTAAAGGTAGCCTAAGCCGTAATCATAATTACTCAAATGCATAAGGCTTGTTTCAAGTCATGCACAAGATCGGGATTTTCAATGTACTTTTCATTTGTATCTTCGATTACATTGTACGGATCAGAAAAATCATAAAAAGAACATATATTGTGGAATCAAATTTCACTGCAGTGGAATTTGGAACCAGCAGTCTCCATTCAACTAACAATTAGAACTCAGAAGGTAAAGAAGAAGCAAACCATTAAGGCTTGATGGTAAAATTTGATACGAAGCTAGCAGTTAAAGTAGCACGAAGCTAGCAGTTAAAGTAGCCCAAGCACAATATCAGATTTTGTTAGAGTCCATTCTCATGTATATAGTAAAGTCTATTCATGTGTTTAAACCTAAATGAACTCATTTAACATTGAACAAGGCGCACCTCCAACGACTAACACTTTGTATACAACATGAAATCCTATAAGCATACCAGTCATTTCATTGGATGTTAAAATGAAAGATACTTTTAACACCATTAACAGTAACATAAAAATACTGAATCAGTGAGTAGCATACCTTTATAGTTGCAACAAGGCCCAACCTGAAACAAAAATTTCTTCTTATTAGCGATCATCTTACAATAGTTAATTTCTTCAAATTGAATACTGCACATCAAATATGATAATACTAATTCATAAAAGCAAAAACTTGGAGACAACAAGCGAACAATTCATGACTCTACCAACACTTGAATCCATTTTTTTCCTAAAATGAAAAAGTTCATCACTTTTTCACTTTAACTATCATTATTTAAGAACCTAAATTTCAATATCGCCAATCACACAATTTAAAAACAAAAATCAATTAATTGCATCATATCGTTACAACGCAATCAAACTCTACTCAACTCAAGATCCAAATCCAATCCCCCTAAAACCAAATAAAAGGATTCAACTGGTTCATTTTTGCATATAGAAATGCTCAAAGATCAGTTATTTAATTAACATAAGGCCGCAACATTAAATTCAACCCATCAACGATCCAAGACAATCAATCAAAACAACAAAAATACGTCGAGATCCACCTTACTTAATCAAAACAAAATTCGGAGAATTAAAAAAAAAAAAAAATTCCGCACCTGTCAGACATGGTAGCAATAGTTTTAAACGCCAATATCAACCCTCGATCCGGATTAGAGCCTCTATTTTGCCAACGACCTAAGGAAGACGAAAGGAACTCTCCGGAGGCACCATTAGGCTTAGCTATAACGGTTGAGAGACCACCATCCGCCAGAAGAGGATTGGTGGGACCACCTACACGAACAGGATCATTATCACCGGATTCATTAGCAAAAGTTCTCCACTCCGATGTCTCATCAATCGAGTGCGATTCAAGCACCAAACCGCACTCTGAACACACCGTGTCCCCCGCCGAGTGGTCGAACACTACCTCCGTCTGCCGCTTGCAGTCCGAGCAGAAGGCGTCACCCATTACTAAAAATCAATTAATGAAATAAATTATGGTCTTATTTATTGTTAAATTTCTTTTTCTGTTCCAATTTTGGGTTATGTTCCGATCGCGTTCATGTTAAGAGATGAAATAGAAAAGGGAAGAGAAGATGGAAATGAAAGGAAGAGGAAAGGGGGTTATTTATAGCCAGGGTTTGAAGTTAGGTAATAATCTGGTGTGGTGAGGGTAATTGATCGTTGAAGTGATCCGTTACGTTTGACCGTTAACAATCTCGAATTTGGAACAGTAATAAACGGTTTTGAAAAAACCGAACCGAATATCATTTTTATTTTTTTATTTTTTAATTTTTATTAAACTCAAAAAATAAACATAAATGTCGAAAAGAGTTAAAATATTTAATTTTAGTTGGGTTTGAATATTAAGTTGGTTTTGATTTGATTCGATTTAACACGAACCAATTGAGTAAACGTTGACCCCAGTTTTGATTTTATGTGTTTTGTATTTGGGTGTATGGTAGAAGATTTATAGTTAGTTTTGGCACGTGGGATGTGTGCGATGTCTAGTTGGAAAATTATGGTGTGTTTGGGTGTAAGGTGGTTAGCGCCTTTGGTATGGATCAAATTTGATTGGCTTATTAGAGGCATGATTTAAATGTGGGGCTATAAATAGTAAGTATATTTTAGTTCTTAAGCCTATCAACTTTGATTACTGCTTATACACTTTGAATTTATTATTATTATTATTATTATTATTATTATTATAAATCAATTATATTTTTTTTTCTAAATAATTATGAATCTCAGTTGGGGATTTGACAATCATACATTTAATAGCTATAGAGTATTGTATATATATGGATTATTCATTATTATATCATATGTTATAATATGATTTTTTTTTTTATAATATGTATTACATATTGTTTATACTCATTTCGTACAACTCTTGATTTTAATTTTTTTTATGTATATAATTTTTTATTTTTAGAGTGAATATTTAAAATAAACGATTTATATAGTTGACCTCCAATTAGTTTTGGACTAAGACTTGTATATGAATTTTTAATCTACAAATTTCTAGTTGAATTTAATTATTAGTTTTTAGGGTTTCTAATTGAACTGAATAGAGCTAAACATTTTTCTCAAAAAAATAGAATTTAAATATTATTCATTTTCATAATAATTATGAAAATGATAAAACTTAAAAATTTTGAATCTTTAATTATTTATATATATTTATTTAAAAATGTTTTTAATAAATTATCTCCAATCAATTAATTAATATAATTTTTTAATGCCTTATAGTAACGCACAGGAAAAATACCTAATATATAAAAATATTATAAAATTAATTATATAAATGAATGAATAAAAATTTAATTAATTTTTAAAAACTAAAAAGTCAGTGAAAAAAGAATTGAACCAAACAAGTAACTTTCCCTATTTCTAGTCAGAAAATCTATAGTCCAAGCCCACAGAAAATGGCCCAATAACTGTGCAGTCTTATTATCTTCAGTCTTAACGGGCCTAGGCCCACTGTTTTTTTATTTTTATTTTTTGATACCCATGTGTGGTCTCCATTTATAACGCCAATGGAGAAATTATATAATCATAATATAGGGTTTTTAATTTAGTACAACCCATATTTTAATAGGTATCATAGCTTATAAGTTAAAAATTTTATTTAAAATAAGTTAGAAGTCTCAAGTAAGGTATCTTAATTTTAAATTAAATGCATTAATTATACTTTATTAAATATATTGAATACTTCTAACTTCTACTGAATATTCTAATTTATAAAATTTCATCAGTTAAATAATTATTGAATATTTAAAAAATTATAGAAACTATTATTTCAAAAATTATAGTAATTACACATCAAGACAATATTTTAAGTATAAAAGTTGAAAACATTAAAAAATAATTATTATTTGCTTATGTGGAGAGATATGCAATTTTACTAAAATTCTTATATTTAAATATACAACAGATCCGTGTAAAATTGAATTTTAATTTTAACTTTAACAATTATATCCTAAAATGAAATTTTGGGATTTTTTTTTTTAATTTGATTGCGACTCAAATTCAACCATCCTAAATACATGTTATAATTCCATTGCATTATTTTTTTAAAATATTTATTTTTTTATTAATTATAATTGTTGTTATTTATTACAACGATATTTTTGTTTTTTCTAAGTAAAACATCCTAGACCACATACATATATGATAAATAGCTTTTAGATATTCAATTTACTTATAAAAATATATACAATTTGGGAAAAAGACCTAAATTTTAAATTTCTCCCCTATCAAAAAAGATGACATATTTATCAACTACTGGTTGGTCCAGTCCTTAAATAACATCCAAAGTTCTAATCCTGGTATTATGAACGGATCACACATCTAAATGTTTATTATGATGTTCTATATAACTATATGGATGTTAATATATGAATAGATTTTAAAAAAAAAAAATTGGTACAATTTGTATTTAAATAAATCATTAATAATTTTATTAATAAAATAAATTTATTTATAATGCTGTAAGTAAACTTGTTTTCTAAATTTTGTTATACTTATGATATATTTTTCTTTTTAATAAATATATTTAATTAATTAAATTATTAAGTATCAAAATCAAACGTGTTTTAGAAATTTTTTGTCTTATTAAACTTGGGGAGCTTGATTGTAACTATGATTGGTGGAGGTGGTGGTAGTGGTCCAACCCAATCAAATTTGGGAAATGGATAATTTTCCCCTTAAGCCAAAATAATTAAATTTTGACTTATATACTTTTCTAGAATGTCAAAAATAACTCTAAAATCAAATGTTAGGTCATATAAGGACTTGAACTTTATTTTTTGGATTTACTTAATACAATTTCTGACAAAAAAAAAATTTGATTAGCATGATTTAAAATAATAATAAATTTGTACTATGATCTAATAATAATTTTAGCTAATTGAAAAACTAATTTTTTCAGTAGAGAAAAAACTAAAAAAAGGCACTAAATTTGTATCAATTATTTATGTGTAAATTTCAAAAATGCAAAATTTATTCATAACCTTTGAAGTTTTAATGAAATTTGAATATTCTGAAGCTGCAGTTCAATAAACCTTGCCTGGACTTATTGTAGATTGATGTAACATTGTTTCACAAGAATAGCAAATTATAAATAAGATAATAAATTAGTATCTGTTTCATAAATCAATAATTAAGAATTTTATATTTTTATAATTTCCATCTCTTTTAAATATTTTTTAATTTAATGCGAGGCTCGTAAATCAGAATAATATTATGAGTTATACAACAATATTCAAAGTCTTCACCAACTTAATATGTGTCGCTATATTACTAATATCGTGATAAAATATGTCATTGTAACATATATAACATAGAAATTTAGATTTTAGTTTTTGAAATAAATATGCAAAAGAAAGAAGAAGAAGAAGAAGTTTATGTGATGAAGATCCCAATAATAGGTTGAGTTGTCTCTTTCTTAAACCACTAACTCCTCAGAATCCAATCAATTGATCAACATGAAGAAGCAACTATAATAATCTTCAAACTTCTTAGGTATCATTTCTCCATGGAAATCCATATTTTAGTTGGTTTGAATAATAAGCCAATAGATAATTATAACTAGAATTACCCTAATATAATACATGACATCATTTGTGGGAAATATTTCTTTTATATATATATATATAACTGGGGGGTGTAATCTCTCTTTGATCATAAAGCGTAAAAGTTTTTGACCCTTTCAATAAAGTGCGCTTCCTGGAGATTAAACTTGTGTTATCACCCTTACAGAAATTGAAATCACTTACCACATCAACCAATAAATTTTTTTTTTTTTTTAAATGCCAAATATGGCATATATACACATGTATCATGACTTCAATTATAATAACCTTAATGCTTACATTAGCTCTTTAATTTTTTGGGAAATATTCATATTGCACATTGTAATTTTTGTTTGCGCTAGTGAACTATTATTTTTTATACAAAAAAACCCAAATAATTTTAATCAACAATGCTTATGTATTTTTATTAGACAACATAATAATTGAATATTGTCAAATCTAAATTCAAACATATTAAATCAAGAAATTTTCATTTCCAAATAGATTATATCCCTATTAGAAATTTATGCATGTGTGGATGAATAGGATTATTTGGATATAAATAAAAGTTCACAAATGTAATAGGAGTTACTTTTTTCAAAGGTATTAGATAATAACAGCTGCATAGTACAACCAAGCCCGTCTAGCTCAGTTGGTAGAGCGCAAGGCTCTTAACCTTGTGGTCGTGGGTATTCGCCCCACGGTGGGCGAATAAAAGAAATAAGATAAGTACTATAGATTTTTTTTTCTTGGTTAAACTATATATTTGAGGATAGCTTTTAATTATAGTTCATAAACTCTGAATCTCAATGACTTGAACTCTTAAAAACATAATTAACTTAGAATTTTTATTCATTTAATAAATGAAATGTTTATTTTATTTTCCTCTTGATTATATTTTCAGAATTCGTCTTAAAATTATACTACTGACATAATAAATTTATAAATGAATTAGCATCTGAATTTTTATATAAAAAATATAACATTTCAACTTTAGATTTTATTTTAAACACATACTTTAATTATAGTTAATTATTTATTGATTAATTGAAATTTTTTTTTTTTTCTAAAACAAAGATACGGTCACGGTACCCAAACATATATATAATCTTGATGGAGGTTTAGTCAATGTGGTCGAACCTTGGAATCAAACAAATCGTGTATCGTCTGCTGAGCACTTCTCTCCTCCTCTGACCGCGTGCAAACGCGCAAATGTTTTCATTTTTGGTACGTTTCGTAAACTCCTAAAAAAATTATCAGGTTTCTTGGTCTTATGTTGTTGGTGGTGGAGATTCAATGGAAAAATAAGTTGGAAGATGAAGATCAATTAGCCGTTAGCTTCCATTTTTGAAGAGAAGGACAGATGCCCATCTCTTTTTGAGTGACTTTACAGACATTTGAACTTCATAAAATTGACTAGAGCCTGTCACAATCCTGCTCCGGCTGGAATTGCCAGGAAAAATAAAAGATCAATCCGAAATTAGTTTGGCATTCACGAGTCTCATGTCAATTTTCAGATGGGTGCCTGAAATTGATCCAAAATCTATAATTCTAGTAAAAGAAAAACAAAAAAAAAGGGAGAATTATTGAATTCACCGAAATTTTACAAACTAAACCCAAATTAGAATTAGAATCAGCAAGATCTAGTCTTAATACTATATCTGTACTCAGCAATAACTTTTTAAATAATTTTTAATATTTTGATTAAACGCTATTTTTAAATTATTAATAACATAACATTTAAATTATTTTTTAGAAAGTTACCATTTTAGCTTTTAATGAACAGAGAATACCTCTATTTTTGACTGACTAGTAGAAAAAAAAAAAAGAAAAGAACTTCTATTATATATGGAAATTAACTTACTCTCTCTTTAATTTTTTTTTTTTAACATCTTAGCCATTTTCTTTTTTAAAAAAACCCAATATTATAATTATAATGTCGAGGAGAAATTTAAATTATTTATATATTATCCTGAGCCACTGACTCTTTGATGACATTCAATTAAAATAAATAAAATACTCCACTTATCATGAATGAGATTAAAAATCGTCTATAAAATTGGATCTATTAATAATAAAAGTATTGTAATTAATTATACAGAGATTAACTAATAAACAAAATATATTCTAGTTTTGAAAATTTACCAAGTGAAAGAACAAAAAAGAAAAAAAAAAAAAAAGAATCTCCTTAAATTATTTATATTTGTATTTATGGGAAGTAAGTATATTCCAGCTTATTAATAGGTGGCCTAGTTTGTTAAAGAAGCATTGTTTGGTTGTTCTTGGTCTTTGCTTCAATCAAATATAGTAATATATTAATATCGTAGCTCCTTACTTAATATAAGTAAGGTAAAATTAATATTTTATCCCTATTTAATAGCTACTTTATTCTTACATTTTGGAAAATAAATTAATATATCTATAATTTTTATTTCCATCAAAGTTTTTCGGTCTATTTTTCATATTTTTTTCGTTAAGTTAATATGAAATAATCTACGTAACCTCATTTACAATATATATTAAAAAAAACTATTTTTTTATCCTTACTTAATTTCAAAATTAACTAGTTTATTCTTAAATTAATAGAAGAAAGAAGGAAATTGGACTGACTGAACAACATAATATACAGAAACAAAACTTACAGATAAATTAATCTATTTTTCAAAATATAAAAATACATTAGGTAATTTTGACATTAATAAAAAAATAAAATAATAATTTTTTCCTACTTAATGCTTACGGTTATTCAATTGGTGTATCTTCTATATGTAATTTCAAGATTGGCAACTCGTAAGATTAACATATTAAACTTATAATTGCATTCATAATAAGGAATTAATCTTCATTACAATTTTCGATATCCGTAGAATAAAATTAGGATAAATATACAATTCAAAAATTTAAACTACTTTTATCAAAAAAAAAAAAAAAAAAAAAAAATTCCAAAAATTTAAACTACTTTATCAAAAAAAAAAAAAAAAAAAACAAACTACTTAAGTAATAATATTCTAAATATAATGTTAGCTTAAATAATTAAAATTTTATAATGTTTAAAATTAAATATTTTTAAATATAAGTGGACGAAATTGTTTCCAATTAGTACGAACATCACAAATTTGAAATTCATATTTTTTTGCAAACTATTATTATCTAACTATATTTAATTATATTTTAAGAAAAATACACCTTTACTTCAGCTTGAAATTAGTAGTACATAAAAAAGAAAATAAATCACTTTTAATGGCTTTACTTTTTTCTTTTTTTTTGGAAAAAAGCTTTATGGTTACTTTTGTGAACTAATATACGTAATATTACACCTTACAAATACATTAATTACATAACTATTCATTTATCAACATACATGCTCTTTTTTTATAAAGAAATACGCAGTGAATCCCTCCTACAAGTTTCTAAAATATTAACAACTATCATTATCTTTTCCTTTCAAAAAACATTAATAAAAAAATACCGAGACCGCCCTTGTATGCTCGTGCAAAACACGGCTTAATTCTTTATAATTCCTTTGTCAGATAGGCGTTTCACAACGTAACTTGATAAATGTGGCATAACTAGCACATAATTACACTTTTTGATTCTCACTAAAACTACATAAGCCTAACTTACAGAAGTAAATTCCTGATTCATTGACTAACCTGTTTTTTTATTTTAATATATTATCCTTCAAAATATTTATCCCTCTAGGTTAATCCTTATTATTTCTCAACCAATACTTCAACGAAAGAACGATCTTTTTCAATAATCCATCAATTAAGATTAAGATTCTTGAACTCTCATCTCTCAAATTTAAGTAGGAAGCAGAAAAAAAAAAAAAAAAAAAAAAAACTACTTAAGTAATAATATTCTAAATATCATGTTAAGCTTAAAATAATTACAAATTTCTATAATGTTTAAATTAAATATTTTTAAATATGAAAGTGGAGAAATTGTTATTAGTGAAATTCAAAATTTGAAAATTATTTTTTCAATATTTAATTATCTAACTAATAATTTATTATATTTTAAGAAAAATATTTACTTCAGCTTGATTCGTAGTACATAAAAAGAAATAAAATCACTTTATGGTTACTTTTTTCTTTTTTTGGAAAAAAGTTTATGGTTACTTTTGGTGAACTCTAATATAGTAATATTACATTACAAAATACATTTAATTACATAATATTATATTATAATATAATTTTTTTTTAAAAAAATAACGCGTAATTCCTCAAGTTTAAATATTAAAATATCATTTCTTTTTCAAAAAAATAAAAAATAAAAAAATCACGAGACAGCCACCTTGTATGCTGTGCAAACACGGTTAATTTTTATAATCTTTGTAGTAGGGTTTAAACGTACTTGATAAATGTGGCATAATTAGAATAAATTAATTTTTGATTTACTAAAATAATAAGCTATTAACAGAAGGTAAATTCTGATTTCATGAAACTAACCTGTTTTTTATTTTAATTATTAATCCCTTCAAAATTTTATTTAAGGTTAATCCTTTTTTTTTCTAAAATATTCATGAAAGAGATTTTTCAATAATCATAATTAAGAATTAAGATTTGAATTAATCTTAATTTAAGTAGGAAGAGGAGAATGTTTGATTTGGTAATAAGAGAGAGACAACCAAGAAGACAGTTTTCACACGCATTTTAAATGACGCGTGAGATACAATCATCACCAATTAAAAATGATGTAATTTGTACACAAGTATAGACCAGAGAGAGCCAACCAAGAACCAACATATATTTCCAGTTCGGGTCTTCGGTTTCTCCTTATATACACGCAATTTGACTGTTAACAAAAACTTGTCAAAGGCTCAAGCTTTAGCCTCCTGCTTTTTCTAGCCACCACCTCCATCTCTTCTCTGCTGCTACATTCCTTCTCTCTCCACCACCACCACTCCTCCTTTCGTTCTTCATATCACCCTGGTTTTTCTTTTTCATTTTCTTAATCATTTTTAAGTTTGGGTTTCAAAGAATCTGTCAAAAGCAAAAAACCAGAGAAACCAAAAAAACAACTTCCAAGAATAACTCGAAGTTACCCACTTTGTTTCTTGTCCTTCATCGCCCATACTTCTAAGCCATAGGCATTTATATTTCTCTTTTGTTTTCTTAACTGGGTTTTGCTTTGTTCATAACTAGCTGCACAAAAAGTTTTCCTTTTCTTTCTCGTTGTTTCCACTTCGAAACCCCAGGACCAGAAACAGAGCTAGCACAGGACAGAAGCTCTATAGAGAAAAATATATATAAAGAAAACAAAGAAAAAGGAGAAAGCTTTATTTATAAATGGTGCATTACCATCGTTACCATCAGTTAAAGAAAGGAGAACATCAAAATAGTGAAGAAGATGAAGCTCTTGCTTTGGTTTGTGCAAACTCTGGTTACTATAAAAGAAAAAGGCCTAAGCTTCTTTCCCTTCTCTTTATTTCTCTTCTCTCGTGTTGCCTAATTTTGGCACCTTACTTTTTTTGCTCTTCCTCCGCTTTCTCTGTTTTGTGTAAGTCCCTATTTCTTATTGGTTTTTTAATCTTTATCTGTATCTGTTTTTCCATATTTTGTTCTGTTTTTGTGTTTTTCTTTTTGAATATATCTTGATGGGTGTTTCATGTTGTTTACAGATTCATTTGTTGTAGAAACTGATGGTGTTGTTGCTGATGTGGATGCAAGTGGTGGTTCTTTGTGTTCTTCAATCTCTAATGGTTAGTGCTCTCTTTGTGTTTCTCTTCTTGCCTATTTCTGTTGCCTTTAATCAATCCATTTCTTCAACCAAGACTTTTATAAAGTTTGAATCAAACAGTGTTGCCAGAGATTAAAGCTGGTTATTTTACCAACTTTGCAGAACTAATAAAAGTTAGATTTAAAGAAGGGGAAAGAAACTAATTTTTTACTTTTTTGTTATCATTATGTTAGGGTGTTTTTTCTGGCAATCTTGTGTGATGGGTTCAGGAAAAGGGGAAGCCATGTGATTGTTTATTCCCAAAATTTTTTACAAAATCTTTTTCCTTGCATATTCCCTGATTTTTTTTTTACCTAAATTTTGTTTTTCTTGTTTATTTACCTTTTTTTTATTGTTCTGCTCAGGAACAATATGCTGTGATAGAAGCAGTTTTCGTACAGATTTCTGTATAATGAAAGGGGATGTAAGAACACAATATGCGTCTTCATCAATATTTCTCTATACTTCAAGAAACACTACTTCTTTGATTAGAGAGGATGAGGAAGAGGAGTTCCAACATGAAAAGATCAAACCATACACAAGAAAATGGGAAACAAGTGTTATGGACACAATTGAGCAATTACACCTTATCTCAAAGCAAGAGAAATTTGCAATTGATCACCAATGTGATGTCAAGCATAGTGTTCCAGCTGTGTTCTTTTCAACTGGAGGTTATACTGGTAACGTTTATCATGAATTCAATGATGGGATTTTACCATTGTATATTACATCCCAGCATTTTAACAAGCAAGTAGTGTTTGTTATTCTTGAGTATCATGATTGGTGGATAACGAAGTACGGAGACATTCTTTCGCATCTTTCAGATTATCCTGCGATTGATTTTAGTGGAGATAAAAGGACACATTGTTTCCCTGAAGCCATTGTTGGTCTTAAAATTCATAATGAACTTACTGTTGATCCTTCTTTGATGCAAGGGAATAAAAGCATTGTTGATTTTCATAATTTACTAGGTAAAGCATATAAGCCTCGAATTAATGGCTTAATTCGAGATGAAAAACGAGAAGCTGAGGAGAAACTAAAGCAGAAAGTTCTTTCTCTGTCCCCTTCATCAGGAACCTTGTTGGAGTTAAAAAATGATGTGCAAGAAGCTAAATTGAAGAGGCCTAAATTGGTTATTTTATCTCGAAATGCATCAAGAGCTATAACTAATGAAGATTTGTTAGTAAAAATGGCTGAAGGAATTGGATTTCATGTTGAAGTTTTGAGGCCTGACAGGACTACAGAGCTCGCCAAGATTTATCGAGCACTTAATTCAAGTGAAGTTATGATTGGTGTTCATGGTGCTGCCATGACCCATTTCTTGTTTATGAGGCCAGGTTCAGTGTTTATACAAGTGATTCCTCTTGGAACAGAATGGGCAGCAGAGACTTATTATGGAGAGCCTGCTAAGAAGCTTGGTTTGAAGTATATTGGATACAAAATTTTGCCTAGGGAAAGCTCATTGTATGACAAGTATGACAAAAATGATCCTGTTCTTCAAGACCCTGAAAGCATATCCAAAAAGGGATGGCAATACACCAAGACAATCTATCTTGACAGCCAAAATCTGAGATTAAACCTTGGAAGATTTCAGAAAAGATTAGTTCGTGCCTATCAATACTCCATCAGAAAAATAAATCACCCTCATGAACACAAATCACATTAATATTCTATACTTGCCTGAACCTGAAGATATTGTCAGCACATATTCTTTACCATTTCTTATTGATTGGTTTCATGTTTGTGCTTTTAAAAGCACAAAATATTGGCAACTAGGAAAAATTTGTTGTAAACATTTTACATTAATGCATATCCTATTTGTACATCCAAGCAGCATACCATAAAACTCCCTGTAAATAGTAGTATGATCTTTGAAGGGAAGTTTTGCTAGGTGAGTTCAAGATATAATGAAAATCCTTTCTTTTTCTGTCTCTAGATAGTGGCCAATTACTGATATACAAAACTTGATAAAGTTATAGTATGTCTTATTATAATGAAAATAGGCAACAATCCATGATATTGATGAATTTCCATCATGATCTGGGAGGTGAGATTTTTTCAATTCCATCATTTTTATTATTATAATGAAATTTAACCAATTTAATTTTATTCCAAGAATATCTTTTATATCCACCTGGGGTTTGAACTTTAGACTTATCATTAGATAGTCATGAAAACGACTTACTGCCAGCTGTTTTTCTTTCATCTTTTTAATAATCTTGGTTGCTCGATTGAATTGGCTGCAATACTTGCAGTTTCACAATATTGCTTAATAATTTGAATTTATTCTGTTTTTTTTTTTTTTGGTGAAAATTTAGCCATTTTCATTATAACTCAAAGGGTCCCAATCTCAACAGCCTCGCCCCTATCCATTTTATTGCACAATTAAGCTTATTAGCAATTTAGCATACTTTTGTCCATTGCAGTAAATCAGCTCCCTGATGGGTCATATTATTTCATGGTAAATCTAAATGGTCCTACCATGTGCAAGTGCCTGAAAAATATGAGGATATATATTTCTAATTTAATACCCGATTAAGAAATGGATAGTGGATTAAATGAATCCATCTCATTTCAGGATTTGCAGTTTCTTATTTTTCTTGTTCTGTCCAATGAAGAAAATAAGAAAAATGGAAAATTAGCTGCCACATTATAGATTATGATTAAAAACAATGAATCAATCATTCGAAACAAATAAAAGATCAGGTTTTGGGATCAAGTAAATCAATTATTAATCATATGAAATTTCTCTTATGTACATGAATTTCATGTGTTCAATCTGTCAGGAAATCACCTTGCAACTACAAGTATTTCCTAAAAAATGTTAGCACCTCGTGCTTTGAGCCAAAGCACCATTGGCATACTCTTCAGTCAGCTTTGTTAAGTGAATAGCTATTAACCTTGATGGACGAATGGAAAAGACTGGAGGTGTTCACATGCTTCAAGTCAAAGCAATGTCGCAGGGTTCTTCACTTAGTTTGAGTTAAAGCCATCTTTTTGTTGTCTTTGTTGATGAATGAACTGGAGGGGGTGTCCTTGCATTCCTTCTTGAGTCATCTGCATTGGAGAAATGGAAAACAAAAGGAAAAGAATTTCCTTTTCTGAATGCAGAATGAGGGAAAATGAGGTGAATGAATGATGCTTCAGTTAGTTATACTTGCCAGAGTCGATTGGTTTCCCTCCAAGAGAAGATCGGCGTGACCCGTCAGATTGAACTCCTGTAAGTGATTGCCTTCGTACTGCCCTTCCATTAGCTGTAATTGGTGACTTTATATCATTGTTATTGCCTGTGCCATTGATGGCCGGTGACTCTGCTTCCTTTGAACGCTGTTGATTCCTGTAAGATGATGAACTCAGATACAACAGCATATCACAAGAAAAAAAATTTCCTACATTTCTGTTTATACACATACCTCTTCTCCGAGCCATTAATCAGTTTTCCAATTGTTCGCAAAGATTTCCTTATTTGAGATCCTTTGCCATTTGTACTACTAATCAAATTACTTGTCTGAGAATCTGTAGGAAGAGCACATTCATTTTGCATCACAATTTCAACCTCGTTTCTGGAAGGTAGTTGTCGTTCAGGTGTTGTTGGAAGCTGAGGAAATGGAATTTGTGTCCTATTGTCAGTTTTGACCGTTCGCTTTTGATGGGAAGAACTTGGAGGACTACTTCTAGGACCATTAGCACGATAGACCTCCAGCATTGAACTGCCAATAGCAGCATGCCCAAACATCTTTGACATTGCTTCTGGATCTTGAGATTGACCATATTTCTGCAGTGTCACTGTGTCAAAATATAGAGGCTTGGTTATGTCATCTGGTGCTACCTTAGACTGGAAATTATCCTTCTTATAGTTTCTTGGACCTTCCAAACTTAATCTTCGGGAACGACTTGGTACTGAAGTTGTTTTTGATCCCTTTCTGTCTATGGGATTTACTGTTTGAGACTTCATGTTGCTGCCATTCTCAATGCTCAATCTCCGCATACGCGGAGGAGTTCGTTCAGTCATTGCTTTTGATTTCTCACGTGGGGACCTTGGCTCCTTCATTTTATTGAACTGCATGTTTTCTGCTTCCTTGCTTGCCAATGCCTTCTTAAGGTTCTCAACCTACACACCAGAGTGTTAAACTTGTGGCATTAGTTTAATGAATGCGACAACAGTACCAAAAAAGAGGCAACGGTGCAAACTAATTTCATATTTTAAACAAAACTTGAACACTTAAATTATGTCATCTGGGATAAAGAAGCTCGCCAGCCTCAGCAAGTTGAAACTGTATAAAGCCATGTCAGATACAAATTTTTTAAATGTTGGTATTTGTCTCAGTAACAAGGAGACTGACTTTAGTATTTTTTTCAAATAGGATAAAAATGGAGCACTCAGTGCCTAAAAAATTTGAAGACCATCTTGCAATCTGGCTTGCTTGGAGCAGACTAAACATAAGCATAGCAGCCAGACAACTAAAATTGAAACATTCAAAGAATAATATTTTACCTGTTCCTTGAGTTGTATAATCTCACTGCTTTCTTTTTTAGCGCGAGCAGCGCCAAGTTCCACTGTGGATGCCCTTTGAGCAAACTTCAAAGTACTGATTGTTTCTCCAAAAGAGTCTGCTTCTGGACTTATATGAGCAAACATCAATGTTTTAGCATGTCCACCTGAAGTGAAATTTTCAGAAAGAAAATTGTTAGTGCAATCGGATAATCAATACCAAAACCAGTAAAATGACAGAGAGAAGCTGGAGTTTCATATTACAACCCAAGGAATCTTGCAGGAGAAGTGTGAGTTTGCTGTTTCTGTAAGGGATATGGGAGTTTTTCTGTGCCAATGCTGTGATAACATCTCCAAGACAAGAAAGAGACTTGTTGATATACTGAGCCTCTTTGAGCCTATCTCCTGTGACTTCTGACTTGTCTACTCTTTCACTTCCTGCAAGGTCTACCAAGTGCAGGCAACTACGAGTGGTGCTTCCAGATATATCTCTACCATGCACATGAATTGTTAGGACACTGCAAATGCATGTTAAACAACCCAATCAATTATGTGAAAAACACCATTCTTCTTCGAATGAGCTTTAAATATTTGTAATTCTTTATTATTTACAAATTAATACGTATTTTTATTTGTTATAACTATGTCATTTTCATGGTTCAGCAAAAGGAAGTCTCAATTTTTGGAACAAATAGCAACAGGTCGTTTAAGAAGCTTCTGAAAACTGACCTGTGAGATCGACTACTTGAATTGTTCATTGCAGTGGAACTGACAACTCGATTCACCTCCCCAAGTTTCATCAGATTGAGAACATCATCAGTGGACTGCACGGAGTGCATTTTAGCATCTGGAAGACTCAAGCCATTGTCACCAGTGCAGCTCCGAATCTCTAACTTGTGCATGGTTAAGAAGCACAACTACTGTGCAACAGGGAATTATATTTTTTTCTTGTTTACTTTTGTAAATATTTATCTGACAAAGTCAACATATATTTTCCGCAGTGTGAATACAACAATGTGAAAGGATATTTAGTGGCTGATAAATCTTCTGCTAGAAGGTCTCGTACTTGCTCATTATATATTTCCACCATTTGAACTTGAATATCATAATTTATGACATCCTTCCTTTTCCTAGAGAACTGAAATAGATCATTCAGAGCTAGAAAATTAATCCCCATATCTTTAGTTGACCCACCTGAAGGACCACTCTGTAAACATAAAAGTCATATCAGACATATGAACCTGTTACATGGCTATCAGGAAAACATCAAGAAGCTAATTTTCTATCTTCCATAAGGAAAAGCCGAATGAAATAAAGATCCTACCATGGTAAATGTCTTCCCTGATCCAGTTTGACCATAAGCAAAAATGCATACATTATAACCATCCATCACGGACCTAATTAATGGTTGAGTATCCTTGTATACTTGAACTGAAAATACAGATATAACTTGTTAGATTTCAGTACACAAGCTCATAAGCCATAAAAATATGAGATTAATAGGTAATACTACCTTGGTTAGCAGTAGGACCAAACACTCGATTAAACTGAAAAATTTTCCTTCCTTCTCTTTTGGGCTTTGATGGATCCACGATCACTAGTGAGCCATCATCTCCAATAAAATCTATCACATTATTTTTTTCACCAGCAATGGCTGGTCTAATTCTGCAGTAAACTCGAATATTTCCTGAGAAAACTCTTAATCAGGACAGGCCTAATAAATTAAACATTATTGGTTCAATATTTAAGAAAATCAAATAATAATGATAATAAAAGGTTGTATAATGTACATTTTTCAACAGTAAGCTAACCTTTCAAATCCTGAACCATGTTGTATAAGTTCCTGTTCTCTTTCAAAACTCTGTGATATCCAAGAGCAGCAGTAGACATCTCCTGTACCTGGCATCCTAACCACAAGGCAAAATGCAAGCACTTTAAGATTTCAAAAATCTTTTTCATGTAAAAGAAAAGGAGTTACTATCTCCTGAACAATGAGGAGGTACTCAAACAATGGTGAATGTCTACAAGTAGATATCCACACTATCTCATTCTTATGGGCTCTAGGGTAACAAGAAAATGTGATTATTAGCAATATCCAAGGAATATAAGGGAAATTATAACCTAGAACTGATTTTCATTACAAATAGATACAAAAATTTGCCTTAGAAAAAAATTCCAGAGCTTCCTTGCTGGTATCTTTTGGAATATGCAATATGTCATAATAATCATTGGTGGTTGGGTAAATATCCTAGAAGAAAAAACTAGAGATGATTAAACAGGGAATGGAGAGTTGACTTTTTGGAGTGGAGGAAAATGATTAGGCCAGTACAGTTTAGTTTGAGGTGGTTTAAAAGAATTTAAAGAACAAATTGTGAATTATGATTTCTGAATGTTTCAATGTTAACTAGACTGTTTTATTTAAATGAGAGTTGAGTACTTCTATCTTTCAAGATAAACAAAATGTTTCCCTCCAAGTTCTAATTCAAATAAATCATTCAATTATGTCCATGATAGCCATTTATAGCATAAAGAAAAAAAGAAAGCCATCCAATCTATTCTTCATTAATATGAATTTTTATATTATTTAATACTAAGTATTTAAAATAAGAAAATTTACATTCTATATGTTATCATTATTTATTATGTGATACATAAAATGAATACACAATTCACAGTTTGGTTTGATTTATTTTTGCAATAAAACCAAAACTAAAATATAAACTGTTTCTTATAAAATTTACAAATCAAACTGTTCTTTTCCAAGAGTTAAACTGAACTAAACTACTTAATTCAGTTTAATCTAATCTGGTTTAATAGTTTGCCATGAATAGTGAATGCTCTGCAATATGCATTATCAAAATTGTGATTATTCACTTAATTACTTTGCAAGGGTAACTTACCAAGGTCTCTCAAATCTGTTTGAAGGTGAGATTGCAAATCCTCAAACTCATTCTTTGTCTTTGTCAATAGGGCTTTCAGATCCTGAAGATGGGAAAAAGAAAGTAACTATCATATTTCAGTGCCTGTGGTTGCATTTTTCTGTTCTAACTTCTGGCAAAAGCAACTATATATAACATATTGCTTTGCAGCATGCACTTTAATGGAACTCCTTAAAGGTCAACCAAGCAATAGAATACAACCTTTTAAACTATTCAATCTAGAAATAAAAGAAACACTAACCATAAGTTCTTTTTCGTGTATTTGAAATAAATGCTTGTGTTTGCAGTTACCCTTTCTTAAGCAAGCTCGACAACACTGCAAAACATGTATGAAGGGTACATCAGAATGCATCTTAAGCTACTGTTGAAGTAACTTAAAAAATAATACGTGTCTCAATGTGCTTGATGGGTTCTTAAACAGTGAAACCACGATTCTGTAGGATGCTTACATGAATTGGTAAGCCAATAGTAGATAAGTAATTGCACATTAACCGACCAGAACATTCTTTTAAGAATTGAACATATAAAAGCCATTTATTAGTAAAGTAGAATTTAAGGTCTGTATGGTCAGACATAAGAATTTTGTAGTTGAATATGCAAGCCAGCAAATTAACAATATGATGAAAGGACAAGATTTATGCTAATTGCTTCAATATAAGTTGAAAATAAAGGCAATTAAGATATATTTGCACAATTAGAAGACAATTAATATATGAAATGAGGCAGAAAAATTATAGCTTGCTGTCAAAGGACAAATTTTCCTGATCAATTACTACCCAAACAAGGCTTAGAAAGTAGGACTATCATATCAAAATTTCAGAAGCAAAATCATAAAGAACAAAAAGGCCCAATTTTAATATCTTACTACAGTACAACACTTGGCAGCTCCAATTTTAATATCTTACTACAGTACAACACTTACCAGCTCCCATTTAATAATATCTTATGTGCATCAAAACAGTTAGAATGAAATCAGGAGAAACATACCTTGGAATCTCCAAGTTTAAATGAATCCTCTAGAGTTGCTGATACTAAATGAGCAGGTGAGGTACTTGTTTCTTTTAGAAAATCTTCAAATATTGATTTTAACTGTTTTGGGGAAAAAAAGATTTACATGTTTTAATAATCAATTCATGGAAGTGAAATAATTTGTATGAAAGAATAATTGTTCAACGAATACCTATATCACTGTCTTAAGATAAATAGAAGAACCATATGCCCATATATTTGACTAGTTCATAACATAACAAAAAGGAGAAAATAAAGCTTTCATTGATTAATATAACACACCTCAGGGGAATTGTTCTGAAGTTTATTCTCCATACAGCTTGAAATGATTCTGCTCAATAACTTCTCCCAATCCTGTAGTACAAGATCATTGAAAAAGGTTAGTTAACAGATTCCTACAAATCCTGCTCTTTGTTTTTCTATTTATCCATTGAATTAAAGTAAACTTCATATGATAACAGCTGAGCATTACCATACTGGAACTCAAGGACATGAGAAAGTTGGCATTAATGTTTTCCTTTGCATCAGCCATATGTTCAGAAAGTAGCCTGACAATTAAATCTACAAAATCCGATGTCATCATTTGAAATTGAGGGAGAATTTATACCACTAGCTGCATCTCTCAAATGACATGCCAAACACACTAAAATCTCTTTATTATCAGATGGTTCAATTCTAAATGAGAAGCAGAAAAAAAAAATCCCCCTAAAGCATCTCATGCAAATTATTATTTTAGGACTAAGCAATGACTTGCTTCATTCATTATCAAATAAATTTGACTGGTGGATTGCATAGCTTATACTCAAACATGCAGATTAGCTGCTAATTATATTCTAAATAACTGAGATTATCACAATTATTGAGTAATAGAATATATTAATATTGCAGTTGTTTTCTGAAGCTGCATTGTTCTCCAAGCCAATTTCACTACTTCTATTGATAAGGCATACAGTAACAACACAAAACAATCATACGAAGAGAGATAAGGTAGATAAATGTAATAATATACAAACAAATTAAAATATACCAGAAAGGTTCTCAATGTCAACATCTGCAGGTGTAATTTTCTCAGATACTGCTGACATGTCCAAGCGTCTACAAGAGTCCGCTGAGATTGAAACAGAATGGTTCCCATTGGCAGGATGAATGAACATAGGTGATCTAATAGGCTTACAAAAGCCATTTCCTCCATTCATTTGCTTGCTCTCATGGTATGTTTTGAGCGCTAAAAGGCAGTCAACCACCTTTGCTGCTGACCCTGCCTCAAATGCATCCTTTGGATATTAAATCCAACAACTCAGTCAGTCATATTCTAGCCATTGCTTAATAATCAAATATTACATAATTCAAGCATATAAACATGTATAGCAATGTAATTAGCTGTTTACCCTCTCAAGATCAGAAGCTTCAAAGGCAGGCAGCTTTAACTCTTCAACTGCCACAAGGAAGTTCCTTACATTCTCAAAATACTGGTATGCTGGTGGCAGCTGTGATTCACGGGTTAGTGATTGTAAAGGTGTATGGTTCTCCACAACCTTGAAAGAGTTTCCAAGAAAGTAGACAATTAGAATACTTAAAGCACTTGAGTAAAATACCCATTAACCCAATTAGCCAATGAACCGAAACTTTATTGCTTAGTACTCGATTACCCATTAAATTTGGTTCGCATTAACCGAATCAGAAGTTTATTATTTGAATTTTGGGTCAAATCAACGTATAACATCAAGAACAAAATGAGGTTAAACTATGATATGAAATATATTTAGTTACCTTAGGCACTGCCCGTGGATTAATTTTGTTAATGGCATTGCACAAAATCAAACCGTTTCTTAAGCAAGAAACAAACTCCTTCTCTGATGGATGCCTTGATATGCCTAATGGACCAACAATGCTTTCAAGCCAAGCAGCCGCTTGGAATCGTCTACAAGCTGCAAATAATCAGTGAATATAGGATCAAAAAATTTAAGACACAAAAATTCTTAGAAATCAACAATTTTGTAAAAGCATCAAAATTGAAATATCAAACGATTTAATTTTCATCGTTTAAGACCCAATAAACAAGACCTACATATACAAGTGAGTTAAAAAATGAAATATGTAAAAGCGAAAAATAAATAAATAAAAAAATAAAAGAAAAGAAAATCACGACACCTATTCCTTAGGAACCAAACAGAAATAAAGTAGAAACATGAAAGAAAATGCACACACCTGCTTCTTCAGCTTTTCTTGAAGCCAATATATCATATAACTCAGTGCTTGGATGATTCTCCATTAATGCCTAAAAATTAAATACTAAAAATTAAAAATCAAAATACAAAACCATAAAGAAGTCCTCTTTATTTCCATGAAATATTAACCAAGAACGCAAATTCCTACATCTTCCACAGTCATCAATTAAACAGAGATACACCCCTATATACATTTGCTAAGAAGATTCAAAAGAAACGTACTTATTGCCTTTGGGTATCTGTCTTCCCAAATGTGTAACCAGAAACCCTAAAAAATCAAAGGGAAAAATCCCTGGAAGCGAATGAAAGAAAGAGAGTAGCGCTAAAAGACTATAAAGACTGAGAATTTCCTCTACTTTTGTTGGCTACTGTATCACGCATTACACATCAATTAAGCGCAGGCTTTTGTTTCTTTTTAAACTTTCGGCTCGGATTTTAGCTTCGGGTCCAAACCTGAGTCCTTGGAATCGTAACGTTAACTATGGGTTTTTTGAATTCAAATCTGTAGGGTCGGTTAAGTGTGATCGTGACCGTTTAATTTGCCACGTAGTCAATCTATCTAAGAGTTTTTATTCGAGCGTGTGTTACACGGATATATATGCGGATGGGATTATCTACGATTCTTGCTCTTTGCACCAAATGCCTAGGGATATGCCAGTGGAATTCTACTCCCTCCTCCCATAAAATTAGTTTGGCTTGCCTTTTGCATCTGTTGACAATTATAATGCTATTTAATAAAAGGAGAACAATCTTTTCAATTTTCTAATTTTACTGTTACTTAATATACATTTTTTTAATAAACATGTAACCATTAATATTAATTATATTATTTAAAAAATACAATTAATTGAAATGTAGACTTTTCTATTTCCAAATTAGAAAAAAGAATATATAAGTATATTAAAAAAAATACACAAAAATTATATTTTAATTATATTAACTAATATTTTCTTAATATATATGAAGTCAAACTAGAAGACTAAGCTATAATCATATTTTATTAATACTAGTATTTAACAATTTGCATTGCATGTTAGTATTCGTTCTAGTTACCTTTTTTTTATTTTTTTTAAATGTGGTTAATTGATTCTTTTGTAATAAAATAAAATTTACAGTTATTGAAAAAAAAAAGTACATTAGGTTCTTTTTATTTAATATTTTACTATAAATATATAAAACAAAATGAATGAATATTATAAAATAATTTATTGAAAATAAAAAAATAAAATTTTATGATTGAAACAAGATGAAAAATAAAAATAATGATAACCTAAGTAAAATAATATCTCTAAGATTAAGAAATAAAACAATGACAAGAAAAATATTTGACGTAAAATAATAATAAATCTTATAGTCAAAGAAAAATAATATATTTTATTATGTATATGTACATAATAATTTTATAAAATTTATGATTGCTAAAATATTTTTTTTCGAATTAATATTTTTGTGATTAAATTTTCTTGTAATTTACATTTTTATGTACATAATATATTTTATTATGTATATGTATATATACATGTAAAATTTATGGAAATTTTGCCAAAAACATTCAATTTATATTTCAATAACAACCGCTACTAAAATTTTAACAAATGATCACTATTCATTAGTTATCAACGGTTAGTAACTGCGATCATTTAAACACGATTATAAAAATAAAAAGATATTTCAATTTTGAATTTAAACCATTAATTCTCGCTCCAACTTGAATTTATCTGATCAGTTTATAATATTATTATCTTGTCCAATTTTACTAATACAGAGTAGACAGACAAATACGTGGAAAAAAAAAAAAGAAGCTATCTTTAAATATTTGTTGGCAAATCATCTAGAATTTTTGCGCACTTATCCTAATTAAGTAATTAATTAAACCATATATGACATTTAGTTCCTAATTAAATCACTCAAAAATAGCAAGAATATCTAAATTGTAGCAAATTCAAAATTATAACTTAAAAATTATCGTCAAAGTAAAATTCCTGAAACGTATCAAAAATACCAAATAGAGTAAATAACAAAATTGGAAAGTGCATATATGAATTTACTTCCCATAAATGAATATATCCAATACAAATACAAAACAATATGCATTTGTAAGAACCTTTCCAACCTTAATACTTGCTATATCTCTCATTCTTTCAGCAATTATTATTTCCTCTGTTTTATTCTCAAAAATAAAATACTAAATAAATAAATCTATTTCATCAATTTTGGAAATATTGAATTTAGAAATTAGAAGCCAATTAGGTAGTGGTTTGATTAGTCTTCTCACTTGTATGAAGAATAAGAGATTTCGAGTTCGAGTCTTTTTTACCATAGTCATTTTCTCAAATTTGATGAGCCAAGCCAAGGGGAGGATCACCCCCAGTTGTACAGCCAAAGATATTATTTCGAATGAAAAAAAATCAAAATTAAATTAGAATCTTGCTTTTTCTTTTTGTATCGAATAGCAGACGATCAACTAATGAGATTTGAATAATACACGTATTTTTTTATATATTTTTATAAGTTAAACAATTATAGAAACCTTTACAAAAAAAAATTGCTATTAATAATTTTTGACAGCAACTTGATTATATATATATTGCAGCCAATTTTAGTTTTTCTATAATGTAAAAAACAAACATCTAAATCTAGTATATCCCTTTTGGTTTGGATCTAATATTGATTTTATTTTATTCGATAATAAACTTTAATTAATCATATTTTAGTTATTTTTAGTGCAATGGATTTTCCAATTCAAACCCAAATCTAATTAATAAAAATTAAAAATAACACAGAAAAACTTATTTTAGAAAAATGTATTTAGCCATCAAAGACTCCCTAATCAACAAAAATTCCAAAAGAGGCAAAAACCCACTCCTCAAGTAATTACAACTCTCCCATTAGGATAAATTGCTGCTTATAGTAACCCATCTGTCACCTTTCCACCTCCTCTATATCCTAATTCTGCTCATTCTTTCCTTCTTTAGACCCACAGAATCCTTATCAGTTCATGAGACATAGTTATATATATATAATTATTTTTTTTATAAATATATATTTTTCGTTGTTCTTTCTTCCTCTTTATACGAATTCCATATCTTTTATATATTTTTTAAGCAGCCAAAAGTAGGGCTTCATGACAGAAGAAAGGAAAAAAATGGGCAGAGGCAAAATTGAAATAAAGAAGATAGAAAATTTGAACAGCAGGCAAGTTACCTTCTCCAAACGTCGGAGTGGATTGATTAAGAAAGCTAAAGAATTATCGGTACTCTGCGATGCAGAAGTTGCTGTTATAGTCTTCTCTAGCACAGGAAAGCTTTATGAATTTTCCAGCTCTAGGTATCTTTTCATATCTTCATCTTCCGTTCTTTTCTTTTCTTTAATATGTATTTTTGAATCTAAAATCAGTCCATCGGTTTTCTTTTCTTTTGTTAAGATTAATGTACATCCTGGAAAGAAAAATTAAATACAGTATTTGAATTCCTGGTATGGAAGTTTTTACTAATTTGATGATATTTATTTTTTTTCTGAAAAAAAAAATTATTACTTTATTTGTCGTTCTTATCAGTTCCAAAACCCTTTGATTAGAAAAATTTAGGTTTGTGGAAAATAGAATTCTTGATGATTGTCGTAAACTTGTAGCCTAAGTAACCTATGACTGAAACGACAGTCGTATTATGGTAGTTAGCTTGTGGAATGGAAATAGATTAGAAATTGAAGTTAATTAGAAATTTTATCAATTTCAAGCAGATAATTCGATTTAGAGTATTGTAGTAAAAATAAAATTGTCAAGATAAACTTTCAATTTAGCGCCATAACTTGTATTGAATATTTAATTTTTTTTTTAAATTAACTTTTAAAATTAAATTAGTATATAAACTTTGGGTTTAAGATCTAATTTACCCTAATTTTGGGTTAAAAACAATAAAATATATAAATATTCTAAGTCTGAAATAATAAAAAACCTTAAAAAGAAGAAACTAAAAACAAAAGTAAAAAATTTTTAAGTGGAAAATTGTTCTTTTCTATTCCAGTTTTTCTTTGACTTTGACATTAATTTTAGATCAAATTGAACATTAAGTAAAATTTAAGGATCAAATTGAAATTTACCCAAATTATTATGGTATAAGACGTGACAAAATTTCGATGGTTTTGGGCTAAGCATGTGTACTAATTGGGCCATTTTTTCATATATTTTGTTTTTGGGCTAAGGTTTTGGGCCCAAAGCAGTTGTGCATATACATTAAAAAAAAAAAAAATCTAACTTCTTTTTTTAATTCTTTCTAAATATAAAATTTTATATTTAACTCGAATAAAACTGATAAGGCATTGAATAGTTTTATTTGAATATATGTTTGTAACATATGCTTGTGATTCAGTTTGCTCACAGTGTTTGTGTTATTGATCAGCATGGAACAAACTCTGTCAAGATATAGCAAAGGCCCGGATTTGATGTGTCCAGAACATGCTTCAGATTATCCTGGAACGGAGGTACATTATTCTAGCACATTCTTATTAATGGCTACCATGACATATAAACGCATTGGTTCACCCGACTATGATCTTTTGATGCAAAATTTAGAGAAAAAAAAGTAGAAAAAAAGGGGAAAAAAAAAACTATCATCTTGGTTTCTAATCAATAGAAATTTAATTTTATTATTAAATTCAGAGTATAAACGAGCTAAGCCGAGCTCGAATCTCTACTCGAAATTTGATGAACCTGAAAATTTTAATTTCGAACTTGACTCGAAAAATTTTAAATTCAAACTTAACTTGATTGAGTTAAAATAAATATTATATACATGCATATATAAAAACTCGATGAGTATCAACAAGTTTTCGAACTGAACATCATTAAATTCGATCGCGAGCTTGAGCTGAGCTTTTTTGAACTTTTTTTAAACAGAATTTAAATAGTTCGCAAGCTATCTTGGCTCGTTTAAACATCTAGTTAGATTATTAACAGGTCCAGTGAAATTACTGTTGTTAGGGTTGAAATTTATTTTTATTATTATTATTATTATTACGAATATTATTTTCTTTTCAAGAAAATGAGAATGATTTTATGTGTAAATAATTTGTCAAACAGCAATCACAATCAGAAGAAGTGACTGCACTCAAAGATGAAGTCTCAAAACTACGCTTGACATGTTTGTAAGTAATAATTATATCAGCGGATTTTATTTGTTTATTTATTTATTTATGCAATCTTTGATTGCAATTAATAATTAATTATTTAAATTTATATGTATATAAACTTTGATTTGTAGGCAGATGATGGGTCAACAACTTGATGGGTTAAGCTTCAAAGAGTTGCAGCAGCTAGAACATCAATTAACTGAAGGAAGGATATCGGTTAAGGAAAAGAAGGTAAACCAACAGTTTTAACATAGCTTTTAACATTTTTTTTACTTTTAATTTAAACTGTTATATTAAAAGCTAATGGTCAATAATTAACGGTTAATAGACAATTAACAGCTTCTACAATAATTAACAGCTACTAAACTGTTAATATTATCGAACAAACCTTACGAGATTTAGGATTTAATTGTGATATTAAACATGTAAGAACTTTATTTTTAAATTCATTATTAAATATGAGAAAAAAATAAAAATAAAAATAATGGTAAATTCTGGTCATCTTAATTAGTTTTTCTAATTGCTTTACCTTATTAGTTCCCCACGCTTCTGTTGTAGCAGGAAAAGGTTATACTGGAGCAACTTAAGAAATCAAGATTGCAGGTAATCAAACAAGGCATATTTGCAAGAACTTATTCTTATATTCTTTTTTTTTTTCTTTTTTCTATTTTTTTAAAATTAAATCTTTGATGCTTTCAGGAGCAGAAGGCCATTCAAGAGAATGAAACATTGCGTAAACAGGTTATTACCATATATATTGTTTGAATTTGTGCTTCAAATTGCATATTTGAAGCAAGTTTTTGATATTCTTTGGCATTTAATTAATGGATAATAACCCTAATTAATTAGGTTGAGGAGCTAAAACGAAGCTCAGCAATGGCAAAGTCACAATTTCAGGAATTTAATCCCTTGGAAAGGAGATTTCCCCTTGCCAGTTTTAAATCTGATTGTTTTCCTCAAGGGGAGGAAGAAGATTATGGTGATCTTTCAGAAACTTCATTGCATTTAGGGTATGTTAGCAATCACAATCAAATTCGAAACCGACCGAAATTTTAACTCTTTTCTTAATCACTTACTTCCCTTACCTTGTTCGTTTAGAACTTCGCCGATATAAATTTTTGACTTCAACCTTGTATAGATTGATGTATTTTTAATATATTAATGTTGGTCATACTTCTAATAATTTCCTTTTTTTGTGTTCTTTTTATATATAGATTGTCGTACGATGTTCATCACAAGAGGAAAGCAGCTAAAATCGAACCAATTTGGAATGATTCAGCTGGGAGTCAAGTGGCTTCGGAATGATATGATGTTAATATTGAAATAAGAGAACTTTTTTTTTTTTTTTTTTTTTTTTTTATAAAGAAAGAAACTTTTTTTTTTTTTTTTTTTTTGTTTCTCCTACGTTTTAGTTCATTCATCCTAGAAAAGAGGGGGGAAATAGAATAGGTTTAAGTTTCTTTTGGCTAGTTATTTTTGCTCGTTTTTTTTTTTTTTTTTTTTTTTTTGTTTCTCTAGTTTAGTTCATCCATCCTGAAAGAGGGGGGAAATGAATAGGTTTAGTTTCTTTTGGCTAGTTAATTTTGCTCGTTTGTGCTTATAGACATAGATGTTTTTATCAAGTTCATGTTAGATTTGCTTTCTTCTAGTTATTGTCAAGTGCAATAATAATTTTTACATTTTTTAATTATCTAATAAGTGTTTAATCGATCTAATTTTATAAATTGAATGGTTCAATAAGTCAATTAAAGTGTCTAATAGGTGCAATTTTATAAATTAAGGTATTCAATGGACCAAAGTGAAAGTTGAGGATGCCACAAAGTTTTTCCGTAAAAAGTGTAAAGATAAATTTATATATTAAGCCCATATAATTAGGGTTGAGCAAATGGTCAATTCGGTTTAAATTGAACCGAAGCCATAAATACAAATGGAAGTTTCTTTACAACAACTTGAATCGGACTAAAATTTGCATCTGAATTAAACCAATCAGTTCGGTCTATTTTTGTCAGTTTTACCATTTTTAATTCGATTTTAAATCCAACCGATGAATTTCTGTGTAATCAAATTGAACCAAACAACAAATTCGATTTAAACCAAAAAAAAAATCTCTTTTGGGCACTTGACCAAACCAAACCGAAATGGATCGGTTTGATTTTCTTTCAGATCCGTTGGTAATTTTGCTCTCACCCCTAGACATAAGACTAATTTGGACAATCACATCCTTTTGTTGCATGTGGGACTACTTGCATCATATCATGGCTAATGTCAAAGCTTTTATTCTGTTTTGTTTTTTTAGAAAGTTATCACACTTTATCTTCGAACCTAACGTCATTATTCTTATTCATATAGCACGCATTTGATACATGGGGCGATAAATAAAAATATGATTTTTTTATACAAAATAATATAATAATTTTTCTTAAAGGGAAAAAACATATGTAATTAATGTGATTTTTGCCATTGGAAAGAAGAGCACACATCAAAAGATGGGTCCTATTATTATATCATGAAACCGACCTTACCTAATTGACATGAACTCAGCAGTTTAATTTAATTATTTTTGGTATACGTCAACAATTGCAGTTTAATTTAATTATTTTTGGTACGTCAACAATTTAATTTAATCAATTTGTGGGCTAATATATAGTCCCAAGTCATACTCACAAATAAACTATAAGTAAGATATGAGATTATTAAAATAATAATAATAATAATAATAAAGAAGGCTCAATAATCATTAATGGAAGAAAAAAAAAATTAATTGAAGAAGAAGATGACATGTTGTGCATGCAATTGGAAAGTGAAAGAAATGTTTGCTAGTGGTTGTAATATTGAACACGTGGCAGAAAGTTGTCACCAATGGGTTAGGCAAACCAATGAGATTTGCCAGCATTTTTGCATAGTTTGGAACCGTCCAAAATATTTGTTTTTAATATAAGATGAATAATGACTGGTTTAATATATATAATTGGTCTTTTAATTACTATTTAGAGAGGAGATTCCAATCTAATTAATTTTTTTTATCTAAACTATATATCACTCAAAGATAATCAAAACCGTGCTTCTCGACGAATTATATATTATTTTAATAGAAAAATAATAAAAATATATTGGTATTACTATTTAATTAATCAGTCATTTTTAATTGGAAAATAATAAATATTTTGTATCACTAGCATTTATATAATAATTTTTATTACTAACCTTAATAATATAAAATTTATATAAAGACATAACATTCATGTTGTATTGATTAGAAAATGCGAGGGAAAGAAATGATTTTTTATAACCTAATTTATTAAATTTTGGTTAAAATATTGAGAAAACACACGTTGGTCCTATTTCTTTAAGGTTCTATATAATTTTTTTTTTTTTAAATACTACTTATAGTTTATTAAGTTTATTTGTATTTCCAAATGGATGGGGACAAAGTGGTCTCACACAAACATAATGTTGCTCTGACCTTTATCATCATGCATGTCACCCTCTCTTATTTTGAATGTGTATACATAAATATATTATAATATTACATCACACCATTGATTTAGTGCATTTGAGCTTCTACTCTAACCTCTTTTTTTAATTTGATATATTAGAATTTCGTTAAAAACTTCAAATCAATACAAATAATATAAGGTGAACATGACCCTCTCTTGAAGATCAGACATAGAACAAAACTTTTATAACTAAAACAATTATTGTTCATTGATTTAATAAGAAATCCTAATGAAAATTGGAAGGTGAGCTTGAAAAAAATTAATCTTCAAATTGGCTGGTTAGGCAAACTTCCCTAATCTTTTGTACATGGCATTATATTCATGAACTAGTTGCTTATTACGAACACAAAGAATTTGAACCACTAAATCTAATAGAGGAACGTGCCGCACTACCAGGCGTCAAAAGACAAAGATCATCGTGTTTAAAAAATTCTCCACAAATTGCGTACTTGTTCAAATAAACCAAAATAAATGTAAAAAATAAAACAAATACTCCATATAAAATAGTGAGACCACAAAATCCACGCAAGATGGAGATAAATCATGAAACATAATAAAAACATAAATAACTTAAATATATATCAAATATATATAAATCTGTAATTTATTTAATAAAAAAAATAAAAATTTAGTGCGAAATAATAAATAATAGGAAGAATTTTTCATAAGAGACAAAAATCAACCCGCCACATACTTAGTTTTCGTGTTTCAATTCAACTCTAACCTTTTAAATACAGTTAAATTGTCCATTGAGAACCCGGTAAGGGCACGCAGCTTGTTTACAACCTTTTTTGGTGTAACTAATTAATAATGAAAGTCCTTTTCATAAAAAAATAATAAAAAACAATTAAACACCTCTTCAATTAGGGTTGGTACCAAAAACCAAAAATTTAATATTACATGTATATCCACATCATGCTTCAACTGCTTCTTTATCCCTTAGGGATTCTAATCTAACGGTTCAATATGAGGTCATATAAAATTATTGCAATAGGACCAACAATAAGAAAATCATCATTATAATAGACAGATAATCCTATGTTTGTGGAGATTCAATTGGTCTCGTTCAAATTAAATGGAATGGATCAAATTTTTACATTTTTTATAAACTTTTTACATTTTTCGATTTTATATAATAAAAATTAAACTAAAAATGTAGTATTTTTTAAATTTTTTTTATAAGACTAAAACTTAACCAAATACTTTTAAAGTTAAATCAAACCGAATCAAACTGATAGTTCAATTCGGTTTAATCCAAATAATGTCCAACCCCATATAATCCCACTTATCAAACCATATCAAATGGAGATGTTCCGATACCCTAACTATGGGAGGATACTTTGTCTTGTGATGAAATCGTGACCGCTGGATGAAAGTATGTGTGACTCACAAGTAACCTAAAAAAATCTTGTACTTTGCATATTTTTGCAATTTTAGCTGGTTCTTAGTTTTTTTTTTTTTTTTTTTAACTGTAGCATTGTACCATCTTTTTATTATAGTTGTGGCCGCCGTCTTCATTGGCTAGATTTTTGATGATCCTACCGTTAATGGGACCTACTTTGACACATAAGCACTAAGTCAGCACGTCCACGTCAACTTCTTCTCCTCCATCCCCATGAATAGGCCTTCTTGGCTACGTTGAAGGCAACGCACTCCCACTACGACTTGGTCAAGGCGGATAGTAAAGCGGCGCGTCTCCTTAACCTCTGTCTTGTATTAAAAGTAAAGATTTTGAGAGAAAAAACAGGCAAAAAAGAAGAACTCACCATCCACCATTGGAACCCACCACAAAAACCCATAAACCATTAAATCTCATAAACCATCAAACTCCGCCGCTGCAACCGCCATAAACTTATTCGAAAAGAGGATATAAGGAGAGAGTAACGAAAAAGATATGAGTTTTTGAGATCTTTTAAATCAACTAACATATTGTGGGAAACCGAGAGAAGCTTGATTTTTGGCAATAAAGAAGAAAAGAAAGAGTGATGGGAGGGAAAAGAAAGTTTTGAGTGAGAAAACAGATGCATGATCGAGGAAAGAAGTGCTGCGGAAGAAAAAGATGCTATGAGAACAAGAAATGTAGAGAATTCGAGTAAGCATGCAGAAGAAGAGAAGAACAGAATAAAAGAAGAAACGGCATCGTTGGATGACTTTGTGGAATGACGTCATCTTGAAGGATTTGTACTGGTTCTGTAAATGGTTGACGTGGCATCTCTATCAACGCCGACTGTATGCCTCATTAATGGCCACTTCAGCTCCCTTCTAATTCTTGGACAAAGGCCATTGCAATAAAAAATATTAATTCATTAAAGAGGAAAATCAATCAATATATAATTTTAAGGTTCATAGGAGAAAACTATTCCTACAAATATAATGATAACTCCCTAAACAAATAAAATATTTCACAATTACATAAAAGAAAAATTATTAATAATTTAACTCAATATTCAAAAATTTCCAGTTTTAGTATTATTAAATTAATCAAAACAAAATGGAAAATAAGTCCACCCCCGATTTGGTCTTGTATATGAATAAATATTAGTCTCCAAGAAATGATCATCATCATCACCACAAGCCTCCACAGTCTCCCTTTATATTGGCCACCCTAAAACAGCATCATCACTACCTTGTCGGCCTCTTTAACTCAATTTCTCTCTTCCACTACCACAAAAAACCTCACTGTTAATCCCTTTCTCTCTCTCTTTCTCTTTCTACCTCTTTCTTGATCTCCATTTCCATATTTCAGGTGCTCCGTTTCTCTATAGGGTACCAAAAACCATGAAACAACAACTCACTCTTCAAAGAACCAGTAGCTGTAACAGAAGCACAAGAAAGATAATCCCTTCCGCTTACATAAGATCATCATCAACCCCATCTTCCATACCTGAACAAGACCACAGCTCAGATAAACTCCTTCTCCGGCGAGACTCTCCAGTCACTTCACAGCGCCTTAATAATAAAATCCACTCAAGATTCTCTTCTCTTCTCCGTTCTATTTTCAAGATTGTTTCTTTCCCTAATTTTATTATCCCTACTTGTAATTGGCTTTCTATCCCTTATCAAATCTCTATTACACCTTCTCTTGGCCGGAAAGTCACAGGAACTCTTTTCGGTCACCGCCGTGGCCCTGTTAGCTTCGCCGTTCAAGATGATCCAAAGTCTGAACCGGTTTTATTACTAGAACTAGCCATGTCAACATCTATGTTAGTTAAAGAAATGTCTTCTGGTCTAGTTCGGATCGCGCTCGAGTGTGATAAAGTTCCGGTTTCGATACCGGCGGGAAGTACCGGCGGACGATCAGGAAAGTTGTTTAACGAGCCAATGTGGACTATGTATTGTAATGGAAGGAAGTGTGGATATGCAATGTCGCGGACGTGTACAGAACTTGATTTACACGTGCTAAGTACGGTGCAAAGCGTGTCGGTCGGAGCCGGAGTTATTCCGATGGTGGAAGATGGCCGGAAAATGAACGAGTCAGAAGGTGAGTTGTTGTATATGAGAGCTAAGTTTGAACGAGTTGTAGGTAGCCGTGACTCGGAGGCTTTTTATATGATGAATCCAGATGGAAATGGAGGACCTGAACTTAGTATATTTCTTTTAAGAATATGAAAAAAAAAAAAAGATGGAGAATATTAAAAAATAAATTCATAGAGAAGAAAAAGAAAGACTTGTGAGATTTATTTTTTATAGGTAATGTAAAATGGGTTGTTTGTCTAATTAATTAGTAATTTCTATGATGTTTGTATTTTCTTTTTCTTTTTTTTTTCTAATTTGTAAGTTTAGCGTATATGCATCTCTATTGTTGTGATTTTTTTCTTTTAAACAATTTAGATTTTAGATTCGTTAGAATTTTACTAGTTGAATACGTAAAATAAATTTAGTAGGAGATAATTACAAATCTCGAAATAAAATTAGTAAAATATTTATAAATTTTTTTAAAAAAATTTCACTTGTTCAACATTCATTATATATGAAAAAATGGAAAGGAAAGAAAGAAAATATACCATGTCTTTTAAGAAAACTATGTTTGATTTATTGCTTGTGTGTTATTTTGATATATGAAATCATGATAACTCTATTATAATTTTATTTCTGGAGCTAAACTAATGTTGTATAAATAAATATTTAATTTAATCTTGTTAAATATATATGTGAAAGAGATTAATATAATATATTCAATTTGACTCCTAATGTTATTTGATCATAATACTATTTTTTTTTATTAAAAAAATTGATATATACCTAATGTTGATAAAATAAATATTTAATTTAATTCTTGTTTAAATATAATATTTGTGAAAGAGATAATATAATATATTCAATTTGACTCCTTAATGTTATTTTTGATTCATAATTTACCTATTTTTTTTTATTTAAAAAAATTGATTATTTATATATATATTTATAATATTATTATATATATAATATATATATATTATATATATATTATATATATATTTATATATATGCATGATGTATATATGCACCGCAGTTGGATATATTTATGTTTAATACATTTTATTAAGAATTTTAGTAATTAGGCATGCCCGTTGCCTTTGCTGATGCATATGCATGATGTATATATGCACGCGTGGATATATTTATGTAATACATTATTAAGAATTAGTAATAGGCATGCCCGTTGCCTTGCTGAGCTAAGATCATAAGATTTCACAGTAATTCAGTTGAATGTGGTTTGGGAAACACTTGTGACTTGTGAGTATTCACATACACCAAATGTTAACGGTTGGAATGGCACGGTATGCGCGAAGATTGAACTTTTCGTATTCATTTCAATTCTGTTCAAATGTTCGTTTAAATATTCGTATTTGTAAAACATAATGGTGTATTTTTGAGAGACTTTATACTAAAAAAGCAAGCAACTCTAACGAAGGAGAGAGCAAGCAAGAAAAGAAAGTGTTTGAGCATGCTTCGCAGAGATTGGAAACTTGAGTTTGACAAGCATTAGAGAAAAGATGAAATGGTTGGGGCTTACAAGTGGACATTTAGACCCTAAATCACTAAAAAGGAACCACCACTCTTTGTCTTCAAATATGCATCCTTAATTCATTCATCACCTTTTATTTGTTCCCCCTCAAATTCTCCAATAAATGTGGAAAATATCACTATAGAATCTAGCATGATATTTTCCCACCTCTTAATTTTTCATTTTTTTTAAATTTATTAAATATTTTAATTAAAAAAAAAAAAAGACTCTCACCTAGTTAAAAAACTATATATAAAAACCAAGGAGTTTTTCTTTTAATGAAAAAAATCAAGGAGTTAGTCTAATCGAAAATAACTCAGGTTTTTTAAGCAAGAAATCGAGTGTCCGATTTTATGAATGGAGAAAATTTTTAAAAATAAAAATAAAAATACTATGTATATAAATATAGTCGATTATTAGATTTTAGTTTATATCGATTATACTCTATTGTTAGTTCATTTTTAGAATATTAGAAATTTTTATTAGTTAATATGAAGCAAATTAAATTTAAATTATATTCACTTCGTTCAATTTTGTTGATATTTTTTAAAAGTTATTTTATCTAAATCTTCTCTGTTGTTTTGAGAAAATAAGAAATATAAATTAAATTTTTTTAAATTTTATCTTTATCTTTTCTAAATACAATAATTATTTTTAAAGTTTTTTAAAATTCATCTTACCACTTTCTTATTCTTTCTTAATTTTGGTAAAGGATTAACGAAGAGAAAATTATTGAGACTGGAGTATTTAAATAAATGTCACGTTTGATAAAATTAATTATTTTAGTAGCTAGTAGTTATCTTAATTAATAGCTGTCGGTTATTTTATCAGCATTCCTTAAATATTCTAAGTAGTAACTAGTAATATTATGTGGAATACTGTAAATAATAGTATGGAAGTCTAAGCATTATATGAAAATTATTGCCCAATGAAACTAAAATATGCTTATATATTTAAAATTAAATTAAATATATACTAGTTCTTTTTATTCAAAAACAAAAATTAAAATTAAAAAAAAATATCAAAAGCAGTTAAATGGACATATGCTTATATATTTAATTAAGTTTTAGATATCTGTCATTGTCAACAAAAGGGATTAATTAGCTAATTTGGAGGGTTTATTTTTAACTTTTTCTAATGAAATGTATTATTATTGGGTGGTTTTGAAGTAATTATAAGTTTAGAACCCAACAACCCTTTAGATGGAATCTCTTCAAACCCTTATTGGGTATGTATTCGTTTTTTATTTTATTTTCTGAATATCAACGATTGTGATTGAGTCGGATAAAAAAAAATGGCCGTGATTGAGGTTTTTTTTTTTTTATTTTACCATAGTTATTAGTATCCAAAAGTCTACCGGGGCTCTGACTACATTCTGTTTGAGTACTACACGTTCTATCTTATACATGTAAATAAATAGTGTGATAATTTTTATACCTAAGACTTGAATCCGAAACTTTAATTTGGTTTAGGAAAGATGAGTTAAAAAATAAAAATCAGCAATTCTATTTATTTTTTGAAATCTATAATTAAAAATTAAACTCTGAATATAATAGTTAAAATATTCTTTTTATCCAAAATCAAATCAACTGGAATAATATTATAGTTATATAAGGTACCTAAATAAATAACTCTTACTAAATAAATGAAAAATTCTGATGATTGAAGAGAAATAAGATAGTTTTGTGATTGTATACGTCGCTCATTTTCCAATAACAATATTTATTTACATAACGAAAAGGCTCTTGAGTATCAAATTAACGTTTCAACTTTGTCAATTGGTAGAATTAGATGAAAAAGAATTTTTTAACCAAATTGATTAGTGAACTTGTAATTTGGTCAGTAGATACAAAGAAATGGAATGTAATGAAATGTGACTAATGTTGTGTTCGGCGACTTTTTTTTAAATCGCTAAATGCTATTTTTTATAGTATTCGGTAACATAGCGTTTGAAACTGATTTTTAGAAATTAAGATAATGTATTTAGCTTTTAGCATTTTATAAAAAACTAGTCTAACAGTTATCAATTACCAAAACAGTTAATTTTTTTTTTCTCTACAGACCATAAATAATAAATAACATGTTTAATAATAATAGATAAATCTAAATTTTGTTTTAGAACTTTTAAAGTTTTCAACTTGGGTGTATTCACATTCAACCTTATAATCTCTTTTCCTTTATTTAAGTTTAATTTTTATTTTTCAAAAAATTAATCGAAAATTAAAATTTTAAGAGCAATGTAGACTGAAAAAAAAATTGAATATGATTGGATCAACTAAAAAATAAAAATTAAAGACAATATGATGCGTTTAACCTAACAAAAATTGAGAGCTATAAAATAAAATATAGAACTCATAGATGGGCTCATGGGCATCATTACCTAACTCATACGAAAAAGATTCCTGATAGTTCATGGCTTCATGGAATACTTGTTGAAAATTGCAGGTGCATTTATATGTGCAAGTTGGGTGTAACATCAAATAGTATATACGTAGAGTAGCAAAAAAGCAAAGAATAGTTTAAATAAGAAGAGAGTTTTTTTTTTAGATACTTCCCCCAGGTATTGAGTCCGTGTTTGTTTTTACTGTCTATGTTAAATATGACTAATTCTGCTCATTTTGGGAAGTAAAAAAGTTGGTCCAGGGGGAATCTGGTGTTACGGAGGATCGAATCAATGATCAAAGTCATCGTGATCAACCATTCAAGTGCTTTTTGCCACTGAACTGTCATCGGGTTAAATAAGAAAAGAGTTGTACGTTTGTGTATATATATGTTGATGATAAAACCAACCCTATATATCCTGTCTGCCATACCATTCCATGCAAAGATATGAGAAATTGCTGCCAATTATATATATATATATATATATATATAAGTCATCGCTGATCAACCATTCAATGCTTTTGCCACCTCGACACTGTCATCGGGTTTAAATAAGAAAGAGTTGTACGTTTGTGTATGATATATGATTGATGATTAAACCAACCTATATATCCTGTTCTGCCATACCATTCCATGCAGAAGATTATGAGAAATTGCCTGCCAATTAAATATATATATATATATAATAAATATATATTATAAGAAAAGAGACTCATGAGATATATATATATATATATATAAGAAAAGAGACTCATGAGATCTAACTATCAATACTACATGTTATTATCATTCATAGTCATCGTTGCGTGCTTCAAACTTCCCTAGCAAAAGTCCCAAGGGGATTTGATCTTTTCCACCACCAGCAGCAATAGGCTTGAGCTTTTGGTTTCAATTTACGAGTGGGTGAAAATGTATTTTTATTCATAATATTATCCTGATATATTGGTTTAACTTCTTAGATATACTATTAAGTTTTTCATAGATTTAATTAATAAAATAATTTTATTTTCCCGATAAAAAAGGTCATGATATTATCATGTCTAAAGTACTTCTGGGTTGAAACGATTAAAGCGATCGAATCAAACCATTTTGGTTCGGTAATTTTGAAACATGGAGTTTGGTTTGGTTTTACTCTTTTTGGTCATCACGACAAATTAATTTACTTTTAAGTACCATATTAACCAAACGATTAAACTAACTACTCATTTTTAAATTAATTATAAATTAAAATGTATATTTTTGAGTCAAAAAAAATAAAATTTAGTAGCAAACCAGACACCTTAACTCTTGCTTTGTCTGATGAGGAGTTTTTTCTTTCCTGTCTGAAAAAGAGAATAAACCATAGGCCAATTTTGAACATTCTTTCTCGACAATCTTCTAACATCTTTTGGACTTGAAGTTGAAATTGGGTTTGGCCTTTAGACTTTGGGCTTTAAGCTTTGGGCCTACCATCAAAAATTAACATGTACATGGGTCAAAAGTTTGGGCCTTTACTAATAACAGAGGAAAAGACCTTTCTAAAGAAATGAGAAGCAACGAATTGCTGATCACTGCGTTGCCTTCTCCGGAAAACCATTTTCCCTGGAAACAAACGGTAAAGGGTTTTAGACCTTTGAGGCAGAAACTGAAAGTAATCTGATTGATTACGAGAGAGAGAGAGAGATTAAGTACGTGAAAATAAATGGGAGGGTTAAAGGGAATAGTGAAGAAGGGATTAGGAGAGATGGCTTTCAACGCAGGAGGTGGAGTCATCAACTGGTTTCCCGGTCACATGGCTGCCGCCACCCGCGCAATCCGCAATCGCCTCAAGCTCGCTGACCTCGTCATTGAAGTCCGCGACTCTCGTGTCCGTACCCTTTCTGCTTCCATCTCTGTGTCTCTCAATTCTAATAGAATTTTGAGTTTTTTTCGTTCGCTTTGTTTTTTAGCAGATTCCTTTATCGTCTGCAAACGAAGATTTACAGCCTCAGCTTTCTTCCAAACGACGTGTAATTGCTCTCAACAAGAAAGATTTAGCCAATCCTAATATAATGCATGTAAGTACTCTTTTGTTTTCTCTTTGAAATGGTTTCTTTTCTGTGTTTATAGTCCATTTTTATTTGATGATATGATGCTTATATATTTTATATTTGTTTGTTATAGAAATGGGTTCATTATTTTGATTCGTGCAAGATGGATTGCATTCCAATAAATTCCAACAGCAAGAGTTCTGTTCAGAAGGTTAGTAGATATCTAAATTGTAAATTTCTCCCCCTTTTTTTTTAAATAAGAATCGATAATTTTTTAGTATTTCCTTGGTCTCCGAGGAGTAGTTAGAGGAAAAGAAAATTTCTTTCATGTTTACCAAGGGTCATTCTTAATTACTGGTTTTAAGTGAAGCATGGTATGCTTCTCAAGCAAACGACGATAATTTCTTTTTATTTCTAATTAATTAAATACTGTTATATTTCATTTTCATCGCAAAAGTCAAAGGTTTTACTTGTTTATTCATAACTAGTCTTAGATATTGTTTCTTTGCTTCACTTATGGTTGGAGCGTCTAAAAATTAAAGCTTAACAAATCTAATGGTTCAGATGGAAACCTGAAGGCCAAACCTTGAATTGAGCAGTTTTGTTTATAGGTTGTCTTGGTCAGGATGATAATCCTATTTTGTTTTGTGATGAGGATTGTTTACAATTATGTAAAAACAAATCTAGGATAGTGTTTCCTGGTTTCAATAACTAGTTACACACATGAAGTCCTTCACCTGAACAAGATGTTTAAGCTTTATTTCCCTTTTTCCTCCCTATCAACTAAAGTAGCTCATGGAAAACAGTGTATATAAGAGGTGGTTAACTTATTTTCAAATGGTAGAGGAAAGGAAGAAGTTCAGCAAGTTTTAAATGGTTGGAGAATGAAGTACCAAAATGCTTACTTTGCATCATGCACAATAGAAGTAGGCATCGGCTTCAACCATGTTTTGGTCTTTTAGGACGTGCGAGGGATTTTGAATATAAATGGAAGTAGCATATGCACACTCCATCCCTCATTAAACAAATTAATGACATGATCTGAGCTGCACCTTTTTATACTGCTGTGCTCGTGGGTGTGTAATCCCTTGAATACTGAGTTGGTTTTGGAGAAGTTCTACTGTCTCTGTTTCCTTTTCTGACATTTCTTCTTCATTGTAATAGTATTTCAATTTTTTTACTACATTTCTAAGAATTTGAAATGGACTTGACACTTGCTGAACTTATGTTATTCCCGTCAGATAGTCTTGCACATGCTTTAACCATGCAATTATCCTTCTATGTAATTGATCCAATATATTTTATTGACTGTATATGTTTATGTTTTGAAATTCAATTGAATTCTGTATCTAATTTGCTTGTGTAATTCCATGGTTGTTCAACTTTGTCTTCTTGATGGTTCTCATGCCTAAAGCTTCTTGAACTTGTGGAGTTTAAACTGAAGGAGGTGATTTCAAGGGAACCTACTCTTCTTGTTATGGTGGTTGGTGTTCCTAATGTTGGGAAATCAGCTTTGATAAATTCTATCCATCAAATTGCACATTCTCGCTTTCCTGGTAAGATGTTGCTGTATTCAGCGATAGTAAGATAAGCTGCCTTTGGAAAATGTACCATAATTTTGCATGCAACTCAAATTATCAGTTTTTATGATCTTGAAGACTTTGAATAGTGACAGTTTGAGTTTCCTACATAGTGCAGGAGAAAATGAAGCGAGCTACAGTAGGCCCACTGCCAGGTGTTACTCAAGATATTGCGGGTTACAAGGTCTGAGTTATTTTATTTATTTTCTTTTCTTTTGGAGAGTATATCCATGTGTGTGCGTTGTGCATAAGTTCGGGTGTATAGTGCTTTTTCTCCTGGTCACATGTAAGCATGTAAACATGTGTAAAATAGTATCTCATTGGTTTTATAAACTTTGATAACATGCTTTATTATCTATTATCTTTGTAAGTAGCAAATCACTGGCACATCTTGCATGTTGTCATATTAATGACCCTTCTTCTCTCATCCGTCCATCACCTAAGTTGCTAACGGTTGTCATATTAATGACCCTTATTTTCTTGTCCGTCCATCACCGTAAAAGAGAGAAGTAGATAGATAGACGGTTACCTAACCGCAAATGTCCTTCGGCTAAAAGGCAAAAACACTTTTGACAAGTTCACAGATTTTTGTCCCCAGAACTTTTAGCATATATGTTGCTTGATGTTGCTTGTTTTAAATATTTATAAATTATATTCACTCTTTCTAAATTTAAATTTTATATTTAGATTTTCTTTTTCTCCATCTTTTCCCCTTTTTTTGCTGTTGACAAGCTTTCAAGCTTTATTTTTTAGTCAATATGGTCATGATCTTCCTTCTTGTTGATAGTCCATTAATGTTGGATTCTTATGGTTTTAATGTTGATTTGCAGATTGCTCATCAGCCCAGTATATACGTTCTGGACACTCCGGGTGTATTAGTTCCCAGTATCCCAGATATAGAAACAGGATTAAAGCTAGCTCTTGCAGGTTTAAATTCTTCTTTTTCTAATTTCTTGTGCATTCTACCAGATATTAGTTCCCAGTAATCCTGTTTCTTAATATGAGAGTGAGAATCATGTTGACAGCAGTATGCATTCTACAACTTTTGGAATTTCTACTCTGGTTAGGCTCTATTTGCTACTTTTAAAAAAATAAATTATATGGGAAGTGATTCCTGTAAGCTTACTTTGTCTGTTAACATAAATTGAAATGTAGTTGATACTGAACACAATATCACAGTTAGAAAATCATTTTCAAGTAATCTATTGCTCTGTTCATATTTAGAAACTTTTTTTGGTAGCTTTATTAATAGAATCCAAGTGGTTACTAACCATCTAGTTCATATTCCTGACATCTTTTACTTTTCCTTTTTCCTTTGATTGATTTGCCTAGGTACACAAGTCCATGAGCTCCACTAAGTTCAGGAAACTTCTGTCTATCCATATGCTACTTTTAATGAGTATTGTCACTATGAACTGTATTTTTGTCTAACTAAAAGCTACATACGTGAATGCATTTGCAGGATCTGTCAAAGATTCTATTGTAGGTGAAGAGCGCATTGCTCAATACTTGTTGGCTGTTTTAAATACTCGAGGCACTCCACTTCATTGGAGACACTGGAATAACAGAAAAATGGAAGGGATTCGGTATGAATCTCATGATAAACATGAATACAATCTGAAAGATCTTCGGCCGAAGAGGAAGAAGCTACCAAATGTGTCTGATGTGCTGTATGTTGAGGTCATAAGATATTCCCTCTTTCTTTATTTTGTAATACAAAATGGTCAATGAAGTAATAAACATAACTCTTTTTTTGCTGATCATTGAAATTATGATGTGCAGTCCCTACCAATTCTACTGTTCTACTTGAGAGGTCTTAGTATACAATGTGTGGATGCTGTATTACTACCATGTAGTATAATTCTATATATCTTTTTTTTATTTTTTATTTAATAGGATAGTGTCTAAACCGCGGGGAAACCTTATCCGCCTCTAAAGGCTAATGCTTGACTTTAAGCCCTTCAATCATCGTTTAAAATCAGTCTAAGTAGTGTTTCTGGAGTTGAATGGGGACTGAAAGTTGTAGGACTCTTTTACTCTTCCCTTGTGTTAAGGTGAATTGCCTTAACCTTTACTAGGTGCAGGAGGATTTCTTGATTCTTTGATTGAGCCCTCATAATTTGATGGGTGCGCAGGGGCCTCTTTCTTCTTGTAAGCCCTTCTCTTATTAAGTTTATAAGGAGCTATTTAAGTTCTTCCTACCTACCGGTAAATGTGAGGCCGATCGATAGTCACATAAAAATACAAAGCACTGACCCTCTTTATGTAGATGTGCAGTCTAAGGGAAAGACTCGGCTGCTGGTAGTCCTAATTGGGGGCGCGATAAAATAGATCGGAAATCCCTAAATAGCTCATGGATGAAGGCAAGGAAAGACGGCCTAACGGAATAAAGGGGTGGATAGGGTTTTGAAAAAAATCCTTCCGTAACGAATTCCCAAAGGGCGTTTTTTTAATGTCCTTCCTTATCGGGGCACCCAAAAGAATAGATTCTTGTTATCTAACTAGGTATTTTCCACTCGTGCTTAAATAATGTGAGTTTTTGAATCTCATTCGGTACTTCTCCTCGTCGGGCAATGAGCTTCTGGGCCGAGTAAGTATTGATGTTGACTTCTCCAAAAATAAAAAAAAATGTGTCGATTCTCGAAGAAAGTGAAAGGAGAATCTTGCGATAGTTTAGCTTGGTTTAAGCTTAGCAGGGGCAATTTTCCTATATATGATATTTTGAATAAGCTTATCCTACTCATCATGGCGAGTGCTATCGTATAATAGTAATAAAATTAGATAAAGATCAACGACTGCATTTAGGAGCTAAAAAACAGAATAGAAATATCTTAAGAAGAAGAAAGGCAAGTAGTAGCCATGACAGTCAAGTAGTACGCCTGGTTCACGAGGTTAATGACCACTGCAAGGCCAATCTGCCTAGTTAGCTATATAATGCTTTTCACAATGCAAAGTCGAACGTTGTTTCCGTATCTCTTTTCATTTTTTTTTTCGGTATGCCGCTCCGCGAGCAAGGAGCGAGAGAAACCTCTGAGAGAGAAATGGATTCAGAGTCTAATAAGTAATCCCCCTTTTATATATATATAATTTTTTCGCGGAGAGCGGGGAAGAATGCCAGATAGGAAATCTGCATCGTTGCGTAACTAGCTTCCGTGGGAATAAGTGCGGGAATAAGTAATGCAAGTTTAAAGGACACGGACTTTCGAAGAACAAAGAAAAAGATTGGACCGGGAAAAAAAAGGGGAAAAAGTAAAGTCTAAGCGCAATAAGTTATGGGGAAATCCAATTTTCGGTTAGAGTACGCAATTTGTTAGAGGGTGCTAAATTAATCGTGCGAGAGCAGCTGTCGGGATTTGGTTCTGCTCTTCAGTTCTTTGAATAAAGCCATTTATCGGCAAAGGAATCGAAATTTCCCGATCCTTTTTAGCTTGTAGTGATTCATATTTTAATTTCGAATCCGCCTGGGAACTACTGACTATTTTGAATGTCTTTCTTGCCCAACATCAAGAAACGTCTAGCGGGCGATCATCGCCTTATTGTGTACTCGGGGTTTGGCTGGGAAGGAGGTATTCTAGTGGGCAGGGATTCCTTTTATTTTTTGGGGGCTCTGATACCGGGGGGGTTCAGATGGTGGCTCCCATCAGGAACTTCGGGGGGCCAATGCAAAGTTTTCGGAAGATAGCAGCGCCAAGGTAGGGAGGTCGACTTAGAAACTAGATTAGGGCCTTCCTTAACCATCCCCCGATGGGGATTCGGGTGCGGGGGCGTCGCACCTCATGTTCCGAAGCAAGATTGGAAAAAAAGCTCTAGATCGCCGGATCAGACGAAGGCATCCGATTCTTTACTGACGACATGTCGAAAAGGAAATTGGTGATTCTTTTCAAATATAAGGAAAGAAAAAAGCCCTCCACAAGCCAACTATAGAATGGATACATCGAAAAATAAAGATTGGTACGTTGAGACGGGTGGGGTTTTCACAGAGAATACTATCAGAAAAAGATTCTGCTCCAGACGGAACACTGGAAATAATGGGAACCCCATCCCATTTAACTTCTCCACGAAAGCAGGAAAAAAAGATCGCATCTATTCCCATTATGTGGGAATAAGCCTTTTTGATCTTATTTGTATTTCTAATCTGAAAGTCTTATTTCTTAACAACCTATCTTTTGAAAGCAGATTTTAGTTTCACAGTGCTTATTCTATAGGATACTGTAAAAGCCACCTCATGTTTCCACTCTTATTTCATTACGAAGAATGTATCACGTCAGGAAGAATCGTTGGCTCAAACGAATCAACGCCCCAACGTTAGGAAGTTCTGGATTGGTGAAATAAGAGAGTACCAAAGGCACCTTATGTTTCATAATCAATAAATGGAAAAATTGGCTATGGAGATTCCGTGCGCGGTCAGAAAATTAATAAGAGACACAAAGGGGTTCGCAGGAAAGCCGTTTCGATCCAATCCATTCTTGGGGTCAAATAAAGACAAAAAAGGATATGTCAGTTGACTAGCACGACAAAGCACTCTCCGAGCATGGGAATGTCTAATTTTTCGGTCAGAAATCTCGACAGTAAAAATGTCTCTCCTTTAATTTTCTCCGGTCGAAATACGGGAAAACTCCATTCATTCCTCGATGGACGGAAGTTTTGCGGAATTCTCCCCATGAACTGGAAGATATTTCGAGATCCTCGAAACATAATTCTAGGTTCAATGGTGACTATTGTCACTGAATCGGCCAACACACAAGATGAGACTTTAACCACCGTGGTAGCGGCTTTTTTCAAAAAAGATGAGGGGAAAGTCATGTAAGTGATGTCCCGGAGAAAGCGAAATATACGAGATACAAACTGTCGTAGATTGCTCCGCGGCTTAAATATGGCGAAAGCTTTTTCAAGCCCTTTGTAAAGAATCCTCCTACTAAAGTGATATACGGGACGTTATAAGTTGTTCCATAGTTGCCAAAAAAGAGTTCCTTTGCACGAGTCGATGTATTTTTTAACGGGTCGCCCTCAGTGGAGTAGATGAGTTGCTTTCGAATTCTCGTGATCGTTTTCGTTGGATTAGCATCGTCGAGGTCGCTTTGATGGGCATAAAGAAATCGTCTTGGTAGCAAACCACCAAACCATAGAACAAGGCTTAGCTCCTGCAGCTGGTCCTATAAGCAAGGTAAAGTAAGGTCCATTACCGCCGGCTCCGGACCGAAAAAGACCTAACGGAGTAAATCCTTATCTCGGATCGGAGATGCTAACGGGGCTGGGGGGACCTCTCTACCGCCGAACCAGCAAGACTAATGTCTACTTATACCTTTGATAGGGTCCACTTATACTATTGAGAATCTCTTAAAGCTACCGTAGGTTATATAAGATCAATTCAAAATTCTAACAAGCGGACTACCTTACCTTCGGCTACTTAAGATCTTTATAAACCAAAGAAGCTGAGTCCTACTTTACCCGCATTCGCACTAAGCAAGGACAAGGCCAACTATCACAAAGCAAGAAGGCATCGCCCTGCGGCTCTCAAAATCCAATGACAAGCAAAAGACGAAGAAGTAAACTTACTATGCCTTTACCTCCTTGTGCCCATAGCTTTGAACCTCATGCTTTTTCTACCCAGCACGATGCCCTTCCCTTTCCTTGCAAAGCGAACCTAGTCAAGCAATGGAAGGAGAAAGGTTAGAATCCTCGCGCAACACGACAGACCCTCTTTTAGCGAAGTCCCTCCTTCCCAAACCTGCTCCTACAGCATTCCATTTCGGTCAAAGAAGGACGGAACAGGCACATCTTTACTACTTCTGATTGGGGCGTGGAACTGGGAAAAAAAGTAAGCAACTAAAGGAAGCTAAAAGGTAATTGGCGAGAAAGTAAATGGAGGTTTGACGTATTAAGAAAAGAGGGAAAGCTAAGCTAGCTAAACGAAGGGTTGGGAAAATTCGCCTCCTCGCCCTAGTACACGGCCAACCAGGAAAGAAACATTTAGTGCTTTTCACCTTCCACCTGGGGAAGCACTGATGAATTTCCTCCAAGGGGAGCTCAACACTTAATTTCTCCAAAAGCAAGGAAATGCGAAAGACGGGGAAATGAAGGGGAACACTACGTCGGGGGTAATAAAAAGCACTGTTGGGGTTCCGGTCAAAGGAGCATCTCAATACAATACCTACTTCCTGGGGGAGAAGAGAAGCTCTTTGAAGGAAAGCAGTGCCCACCAGGTAAAATGCTTTTTTATTTTAGGTCATATCCCGTAGCATCAAAAAAGGTGCGGAGTCAGATGATTGTGAGAAAATGATGCCGCGCGTCCGAATGCCAATGGAAATCTGCCTGCAAAAGTCTTACTAGAATTTGTTGACAGATTGGATTGATCTGCGGAATGAGCCTTGATTCGATGGAGATGGGTAACGATATCACAGACCAGCACGTGGATTTTGCCACGATAAAAATGAAAAGGAATTGTTAGTAGGAATAAGGGGATTTAAAAACTACTCTTTTCTCCTCATCCTTACGAATAGAAAGTGTGGTGATAAGAACGGAATCCCCTGCGAAAATAAATTCTAGTGATATTTGACCTTCTTCTTATCGATAAGAATTGCGTATTAGTAAGACTTGAATCGCAAACTGAATGATGGTCATAGGTAGACTAGCAAAAAGGGATACGGAGTCGAATGAATGAATGTACCGATTTCAATCCTTAAGAAATGGGCTTCTCACGTTACAAGCCTTGCAAGATGCTTATCTCTCACTTTTTTACTGAGGTGCCATCAGTCACAATAGGTCCTCCTATTCAAAACTGCGAAGTCTCTTGAAAAATCAAATATTACCATGTAGTGTGAGGAGATCGCTACAAGCAAACTTCTTTCTCTCTTCCTTTTTGGCCGAGTCTACAAGATTGTAATTTTGTAGTCACAATCCTTTTGCTCGACATTCCGTGTCAGTAGATTCCCATATGATGTAATGAAAGCAAGTTCTGATCGATACGTAATATCTTTCCATAATAAAGAATTCTCCGATAATAGGCTGAATGCCCCATAGTCCTATCCCAGGGCCTAGTCAGCCAACGCCAAATAGGGGGGAGTAACGAAGTTTCTGGTTTGCATTAACGTTCACCCAAGCGAGCAAAGAGAGTGGGAAGTGGCATTTGGCCTTCCACGGCCGACAAGATGGGAAGGTAAATGTACAAGTAGCGGGCATACATAATGAAAACTTAATCCAAAACACGTTATCCCAATCTCTCGTCAGTCCTTTGAAACAGCCGACACCCAACAAGTTGGAGGCCAAAGAAAGAGCCGACACCAACAAAAACTTAGCAAAGAGCTGCCACTTTTAACATATAAATTTTCAATTTTAAGAAAATCCCCGCGGAGTGAAAGAAAAAGAGATAAATCCTACAGGTACTAAAGACAAGCTAAAACACAAAATAGCCCTGAACTCCAGCGAAAACCACTACAGGACGGACCCGAATTGGACTGAACCCCCGGCGCACTCCTACAACGGATAGAGCCTTGAGCTTCTTTGGGTGATGCTAAACTAATAATCCGTGCTAGCTTTTTCTAAGTAGAGCTGCGCTCTCCCTATACGCCGCAAATCCCAATAGAACGAAGAACTTACCTTATTATTTATTACCGCAAACGGAGAGATAGCTATCAGATTACCAACTTAACTTAAGATACGGTCTGAAAGCAGAAGCCGGGGAACGAGACGGGTTGAGGTTGAACCAGGAAAACAAGCCACAAGACGGTAGTTTTGAGACCCCGCTGCCCCTTTCTATTAAAAATTTCTTTCCTCGACTTCCCTAATCTTTACCTGGAGCTCTAGATAAAGGATCTACCCTTCAGTGAGCTATCGGACTATCTTCCAATTTTAGTCCCCTTAACTTGACTGGCTCACGTACAATGAGCCTAATCCCCGGCGCATGAGAGAGGAAAAAAAATTAGAGAGAGCCAATCTCCTTCTAGCTACGCTATCCCTTCCTCCAATTCCATCATAATATGCCTTTACTTTCACTCCCTACTTGAACTGACTCTTCTCTTCCTTTGAAGCTAAAAGCTCCCCTTGCCTCACTAGAGCATTTTCCTCCTAGAAGATATTGATTTTTTCCTTCAATGAAGCTCCCTTTGCGAGCTACTTGACTTCCCTTCCCTCAGGCACAGGATACTTTCTAACCGGCAGAACTGCGAAGAAAAGACTTGCTCAACACCAAACCTGCGTCCAGCCTCGACCTTTCTGAGTCGACCCAAAGGCAAAGAATTCTTTAGCGGACCAATTCTCGAGAGTTTAAACTACCTATTGAAAATTCGATGAGAATTCGAAAGGAAGTTTTCGTCAAAATAAAGGCCCGAATTTCGGTGTATGGATTTCTTTCTCTCTTCCGATCCTATCCTATGGGAATGCCTTTTTCTGGAGCCTTCCTCGCGGGCCGGGAATAAAGTGGCCCTTGAAAAGATGTAGTACTCTGAAATGGCAAGATTTGGTTGTTTACCAGCCGCCGAACTTTTGAGGAAGAGATCTTTTAAACTGAGAAGAGCTCCAGCTAAAAGCATCCCCCTGCGGAAACAAGTTCAAAAACTATGCGGGAGCGAACAACATTTTAAAGCAAAGCTGCTTAGTCCTCTCTTGTAGCGGTCCTGAACCTTATGGATTGAAAGAATTTAATGTAGAACTTGGGTTATGGTTGAACTGCTTCGTTGGCCGGGTCCAAGCACGCTGCCCAAACATGAACCATGGAAGGAAACCATAGATGTATCCTTTTCTTTTTTGAAGACAAAAAAATGCTGGCAGAGAGACCCACCCCTAAAAGCTGAACTTCACTTTGGCTCCCCAACAGCAGATGAAATCATTCAAAGGGCCTCCCCTTCTGATTAAGATCCAATTCCCTTGTGAAAGGGGATGAGACATTTGATCCTCGAACAATCAAAATCAAATAAAAGAATGAATTCTGTAAGGAGTAATGAACCGAGAAAATCCAATTTTTTGGGTCATAAGGGTGCTAAAATGAGTGGGATTCCGCTTTTCACCTTGCCTATCTTAAGTATGTCGAAGGATAGTTTTGCAACTGAATCGATGGAATAGGAAGATTCAAATATAGGAAGGCCTCACGGCCGGGAAAAGGATATAGGTACTGTCGCAGGCTTTCTGGGTCGATAATCCATCCAATCAACGGGAAAGTCCCTCCATCTCCCGTTGAATAATACGGAACGAACTTGACAAGGACTTGAGCGTGGGCCGTCTACGGAACACTGTAGCGACTTCTTGATGGCAAGACGAGGGG